ATCCTAAACAACTCTATGTTATATCAATTACGTTAAGACTTTTGTAAAATCTTTGCTGTATGAAATTGATATAAAAGACTTTATTTTCTTTTTGCTAGGCTTTCATAAAAATGATTTCATTTAGATTACGAGTAAGTGACAGCGAAATCAATATATAAAAAGATTGCCAACCCATACTTACATGTTACAACCCATACATATGTTAGAGTCATTTTTGACTAACGCAAATAAAGTTTTTGTTTGTTTTGATCGAATTTATGATAACATAATGATATCTTTATTTTCCTAAATCGTATACGGATTCACTATCGTTATATTATTGAGTATTTGTTGTGAGATATCAAGTTTACGTAAGAAGCCAGTCGAATTAAGTTGTTGTTCATCCAACCACTGTTACTAACTAGGATAACAAGCTTAGAGTTAACTTTGTTGGCATTACATCGGTGGTTTTCAAATAAGAAGTCATATAGGATGCAACTGCACACCACAAGATTATTTTTTTTAATTAATGGGAATTCACAAAGTTTTGCATTTGGAAGTTATTAGAGGTATGACCCTAGCTCTTCACGTCATCCAATATCACGATAAGTCAAAATGTTGTTTGGAATATTTTTAGTGTGTTCTCAAAGGAAAGTTAAATAAAGCAATAACGTACATTTTGCCCTTAGTGTAATGCAAAATGTTAAGTGAATGAAAGAAAAAAATTGGAAAGAAAACAAAAGAAAATCCCATCAGTTTTATTGTGTAAATAAAATAATCCCAGGTTTTCATTAGATCATATATGTAGTATTAAAAGAACATAAAGAAGAGAATTGCTGGCGTATTTAAAAACAAAACATGAACACTAGATATAATATGTTTTTAAGAAATTGAAATTTAAAACACGTTATAATTGAGAAGCTCAGTGTTTCTGAATACCGGTGGTAGCATTCTTCTCCTTCCCGCAAATGTTTTCGGAATTTACGCCACAAAAATGGGATAAGTGTGTCGACCATTATTGAAACAAAACATGACTTTTGAAAAAGTGATACATGATTTTTTTTTTTATTATCTTCTCATCTACCTTAGAAATGTGTTCGATTCAGGACGAAGCGGAATTTGGGACATGTCTATTAAGAAAGAAGTTTTGGATAATTTTTTAGTTTAAATAGCGGCTTCTCCCATCTCGTACGGGTGGATATAATTTTTTTTTATTTATTTAGATTTTAGGTATATTTAAATTGTTTGATATTTCATGTGTAATTTATTTTTAAGAGTTATCCGAAGGCTCTAAATTTTTATATTTATCTAAAGCTTTGTTTAAATCCAACGGTTGTTACTTTTATTTTACAAAACCATTTTTCTAAACGTTCATTGTACTCTCTGGCGACAGTGGTTTTGTAAGTGATAACAAAACATATTGATTTTGTGGAGACCCTACTCGAGAAGTATATAATCACCTGTGAGATTAGGACTTGTTTAAATCGATGGCAACATTCGAAAACTTTTGCTCTTGTGACTATATATCTTCAGAGGAGACTGCAATCTTTTAATGAATAATGAACAGAATTTACGGAATGTCATCGAGCTGTCCTGCCGTGGGCCCAGTAATGATTTCTGCTATGATCACCTGGTATTTCCTTTATCAAAAGCCCTGTGAAATTACACATACTAAGAGAGCTTATATTTCTGAATTGCATAATTGGAAAATCTCTTTATAATTTCAGTTCGTAGGATTTCAAACCGGCAGTATTGAGCGGAATTATAGCCTCCTATGGGTAGTGGCTTGTTTCTTTGATGCAGTACGCGGAGTCGACAAATTTATAACATTCAAAATCCCTCGGTACTTTTGCCATAATCATTCTAAGTATCTAATTATACTGAGCTGTTTCTCGGTGACATTATCGTCTTGGAAAAAAGCCAATTAAAATTTCTTTCTGTAAGACTTTCGATGTCAAGATAGATTGTGTCTATAAAAATTCCTAGACAATTTGTGCCAATTAATTGTCTAACAATACTTTCGGGCTATTTGAAGCTGCGGATGGTAATTATCCATTTCTAAATAATAAAAAAAAAACAATTTTGATTAATACTTCAACGTTGTCTCATAATTGTGATCAAAATAAGATTTATAATAAATTGTCATAGAGGTGATGACTTGATATATGTACGCTATATATATGTACATATGTATACAGGCATATTATTAAATTCATTTTCTTAATCAGATAAAATCAGAGAACTTTGGTTAAATGCTTACTATTGAAAAAGTAAGTACTTAATAGACAGTAAGACGTGGAAGAATATTTTATAAATAGCTCTGAGAGTAACTTTTTATTTGAACAAACACAGTCCTCCTATGAAGCAGTAGTGGTAGAAGCAGATTCACATGAGACCAACCAAGCGAATGAAACACGATGATAGCTATTTCATAGATGTGCCCACCCCCCTCCCTGCAGAGTAGCTGCCGCTTCAACTCATAGCTTATCTGTGCCTTTTTAAATTCCTAATAGCTTTTGAATGAAATATACGACTTAAAAAAGGCGAAAAGTTATGTGCAGGTATCAAAACAATTTTTAATACGAAATACTTTATTTGGATGAGGATTCATAAAAGCGAATGAATAACACGTGCAACGAGATAGGGTTTTTATATTTCTATTACTTATTAAATTATATTCTATCAATTGGAAGAGCTGATTTAAATAATCAAGTAGTAATCTAAACATAACATGCTTTAATTTTGGTTGTGTTTGCTTTAATTTTTATATAAAGTTTTAAAATATAAAAAGTAATTATTGTGACATAACAATAATAGTTGGACATATGGTTAGTCAGTGGTGGCTTAGTGGTTAAAAGGCCCGCCTCTCATGCACAAGGGCGCGGGTTCGATCCTGGCTCGGGCAAGTATCAAAGTGATTTTTCCGAATCATATGTACTTTCTAAGAGTATTTATACATCACTGATTCCCAACGAGGGTTGATGTCAGGCAAGCGGCCGGTCGTAAAAACATTTAGCCAAAAAACTATTTACTGGCTAAAGCTAGGAATATTGCCACGTAGAAGAAGATGGTATATGGTCTTCGGGATGCTGAAGGCTTTTGAAGATATTTATATGTTCTTTAATATTCTAGATTCAATTCTAGATAATACTTTCTTTTTCAAACACCAATAGTTTCCTCGTCGCATACGATGAAAAATGCTTTAAGGCACTTTTTTACACAATGGATTCCGTTACTTAAGTTTAAGTAAGAACTCCTCATCATTTCTAACAATAAATATAGCTTATATTACTCAAGGCGAATATAACTTTTAAATGATGAAAGAATTTTTAGATCGACACTAGTTTTTCAGTTTATTAATTACATACAAACACAGAAATATATTTTTCCCGCTTTGTAATATTATAGTAGATATAGATTATGTATGTATAGTAAAGATAATAGTTATATTTATTAATGAACTATAATATTACATCAATTAATACAGATTGTAACTTATTTCTTGTGATTTTTTTTTATAAATCCCTTATAACTACAAAGTTAGTAAAAATCTTATTTGATTTACTAAAATTAGTACAGTCATGGATTATTATCTACGTAATAATTTCTAATAAATACATATTATAAATACTAGGTACCAAAAAATCATATTAATACATTATATTTTAATATATAATTAATTTGAAATTCTATACATTGGTAAATTCCATTAATAATTTCCATTAATAATTTCCAATTGAAATTATTTGCCGAAAATTATATTGATTCTTATCCCTCTCATCTTACAGTCAAAATTCAACAAAATACTTATAAAACAACAGTTGTCTTGCGATGACTTGAGAATATTGTTTTAGCAGAATTTAAATATGTATATATGATCCAATCAGAACTGTGTTAATTTTTAAATATTTAAATTTCCATCATTTGATGTTGATCTGAACAATAAAATTTCAAAATATTTAAACCAAGGCAGCTTCTACATATAATTTTTTTTTTTTTGAACGTATCACATGCCAATGCAAAATATGTTTCTTTTAACTAAGAGTAATTAAGTAAATACAAGAATTCATGCTTTTTTTACATTATTTTATATAAATAATCAAGAAAAAAACAAACACATATTTATTGTGTATACTACATATATTTTATATACTTTTAACCGAGACCTATTTAATCAAAAGAAACATTCAGTTTATTTAAGTGTCATATCGGTATTAAGATGACACAGTGTATGGGAAGCCACTTTAAATTCTGACAAAGCCTGGAGATGTGGTTATATTTGCGGAAGCAAGGCATCACATGTTTTTAGTTCTCTCTAGCTTATTAAATTATTCTTTGCAGACGAGTCAGTCAATTGTAGCCATAAATCTGGCTAAAGTGAGATAATATATATTTACATTATTGTAAATAATAGAAGGAAGAATTCGTTTATCAATCCTTGCCGTCATACTAAAAGTCCAAATAGTAAACAATCACCTAACATTTATCCGGACTTATTCAGACGTCTTTATGAGTTTAACAAATGGGAATTATCACTGTGAATGGGATAATTAGCAGTGTAAACAACAGTACATATTTTTTTGTATTCTAGCTAGGTTAAAACGGTATTTTGTTAATTTTCCATCGCTCAGCGATTATCATCGGCAAAAACTAATAATGAGATTTTAGTTTAAAATTTTTGAGATTCACTAATAAAATAATGTATTTTGTATCACATATCTAAAGCAATATTTAATAACAACCAGTTGCCTAAGATATCCAACTAATTATTGCCTCTCTCTTAGCTTGTTGGCTTAGATTAACTGATATTTTAACCTTTAATTTGTATTATTTTAATAGGTCGTAACAATCTTAACACTAAAACAAATAAAACAATTCTGATTTACAAAGGCAAATTTTTTGAGTTTAATTTTCATACTCTACAAATACAGCCACATTATTATCAAAAATATAATTGTTCGGGAACAATAAAAATATAGCATTTATTTTAAAACTACAATATTAATAATAATTAACTAAAGTCAGACTTTATTAGTTTTGTTTCTTAATTTACGCACAATCCTTTGTTTACTTTTAAGTGGCGACTTTACGATAGGCACAATACGACAAGTGGTACTTGGGACGTCACGAATCGTTTCAACCTTGGCAGGAGTCGTAGGTATAATATTTTTATCTGTAATACTTAACGTTTTAATTTCAACTTCTTCTGTCATAGCTGTTGTCATTTGAGTGGCTGATATAAGATTCGATACATTGTTCCAAACATCCATACCTTCAGTATTACCAGTTACTCGTTCCATCATATCCAAGCTTACTTTATTTTGTTTATCAATCTCCTCCGACATGAACGCGATTACTTCTAAATAATTTTTCTCATCTGTCATATTTATGTTAGGCATATATTTGTTTGTATCTATGGTTTCGTTTATTGGTTTTGTAGAAATAATCTTCCCATTATTGTCACGATCCTGTTTTATTTGATCTTTGTGCTCTTGCATATTCATAAGATTGATTTCCGTAATATCATCAATATCATTTAACTTACTTATATTGGAACTATGTTTGTTCTTACCCAAATCTAATGTATTTTCTATCAAACTATCAATTAATGTTTCAAGTGAATTTGCATTCTCCGTCTTATATAAATACAGACTTTCAACTTTAACACCGTCACTATTTTCACGTTTAGTTAAATATTTATCGTAAAATTTTGGAGCATAGTTATTTTCACTGGCCAATTCTGGAAACATAGATGCTAAAAACTTGGACTTTCTCTTCTCATTATTTTTTTTGTAATGTCTTATTCCATAAATAGGTTTCTTTCCGTGTAACAGATGTTTATTTACCGGCCATCTTGTTTTTGAAACGTCTATTTGGTCTCTTTTTAATTTGTCGTATTTCATATTCTTCACCTGCTCTCTCAAATTATATTTCATTTGTAGTTTCGGTACTTTCTTATATTTTAGAACTAATTCTTTAAATGGATTTGTTTTATATGACATTTCCATTGGTTGTGTTTTAATTGTCTTTTCTTCTGAAATGAGACACGGTTATTTAAAAATTTAGTTAATTATTTACCAAATATTTAATTGCGTTACTTACCAGCGTCGTGATTTATGTTGTCTAAAAAATTTTTATGACTCTCAACCAAAAACAATAAAGATTTTGGTTTCTCACGATTTTTTGCATTTATGCTATCTACGACCGGTTGGGATCCTGTGCATTTCTTTTCATTTTCAGTTCTTTTTAAACAGCCATTTGGGTAGCAGTACGTGGGTTGTTCAATACACATTTGAATGCATATACAGGCGGGTGGAAAGTTATGAAATTCAGTAAAAACCATATTAAAAAATTGTTCCACTGCCTCAGTGTTACTTGGAATTTCACAAGGATTTATGTGTCTTGTAATTGTTGTGTGACATACTGAAAAGCATTATTTACCTTCTTAATTTGTTATTAATTATTAACAACCATAAAACCTTTATATCTATGTATTTCAGTAATCTTTTTACTCATTATTTACTAGCAGACGTAAAACTCACCTTGCAAGGATATTAAAATTACACTAAATATGAAAAGTCCCTTAACATTCATTGTGAAATATACTTAAAATGATAAGTAATAACAGCAAAACTTAAGTATGAAAAGTGAAAAAATATTACTTCCTCGATATATACTAGCCGAAAAAGTATTTAACAAAAGTCTATAAGTTGCTTTTCGTGTTAAAAAATCAATTGCGACTGAAGCTTGTTAATTCCCAGAACTACTGTGTTTTTACTCCAAGACAATGTCAGTGCAAAACTTCCTGTTTAAAATGCATATCCTAATAGAAAATGCTTGTATGTAAAAAACATCCCGTTGATGTTTATCAAATATTTTTAGTTCAAGTTGTTGACAAAACGTATTTTTTGATGATTTCGACTGTATAGTGCTTTGTGCTTCTTCGCTTCAAATTAAATGTCTTTCAAAGTAGTATTATTACTTTTATTTTATCCCAGATGCACTCTATGGAATATAGTTTGTATGTGAACTGACTTTATCAACTAAGTTTCACACTGTCAGAGCTATCCGAAGTAACAAACTTTTCCTTACGTCTGAATTCCATCTTATCTAACTACAATTTCAGCTGATTCTATCAAAACCCGGTCTTTATGACTATTATCTTGAAAGTACATAACAGCGCGTATAGCAACTGTATAACATATGAATATATATACATATATATATTCATATGTTATACAGTTGTATGCAATTAAGAAGTTATGCAAGTTAAAAATTACGAATAAAACGGAATCTATGTAAATTCAATAAATACACTTATCATGAAAACTTCATGTAAACGTCACTTTTAAATTTCGCTATTCCTTTTTTTATCAAACTTTCTTTTGACTCATTTCTTTCCATCTCATAATAGTTATCATTTCTTTCCATCTCATAATAGTTATCATTCTTTAAATATTTACTAAGTACTTATTAAAAAATATTTATTGATTATATAATTTCTTCAATCTGAGTAACAAATCAAGTACCTAGTTTTATAATTTTTCTTTATCATTTTTAATACTCTCCGATGCAATACTTAAATAAATATACTTCTATAATTCTTAGAATCGCTCTGTAACGTTGCTATTAAGTGAGACGACGTTCGTGTTCAAACTACTTATGTCTTCAATTTAATCAATGACCTCGTCAATTAATCTGTAATCTCCCGTAGTTTTTTATTTTGTTTACATTTCTTATAGCAAGCAGCAAATAGTTAATTTATTAAATTATAAGTTAGTAATATAAATAGTAATGGTCAGTGGTGGCCTAGTGGTTAAAGGGCCCGCCTCTCGTTGCCGAGGGCGCGGGTTCACACCTGGCAAGTACCAATGTAATTTTTCGGAGTCATATGTACTTTCTGAAAGCATTTAGACACCACTGACAAACGGTGAAGGAAAACATCGTGAGAAAACCTGGACTTATAGTTTCACAATTATAAGTTTGAAATCACCAACCCGTCTTGAGTAAGCGTGGTGATTAATGCTCAAACCTTCTCCATGTGAGAAAGAGGCCTTTGCTCAGCAATGGGCTCTGATAGGCTGATGACGACGACGACGACGAATATAAATATTCCATATTATTTTCTCTATGACTCATACAATAAAAACTATTTTTAGATTTTTACGTACACATTGACACTATATTTTATCATCAATCTAGTATTTTTTAATAACAATAATAATGTTAATGAAATGAATGACTTAAAAAAATGTATATTCTGTAGATGATGGCTATAAAATAATTATTTAAAGTTTATCTCCGGAGTTATTGAACTTAATTTTACCAAAGAGCAAGAGCAAAATAATGCAGATAGTTTTCTGTCTTTAGTGTCATAGTTTAAAAAACACTTGGCCAATTTTAACCCTAACAAAAATTCTTACTTTACAGATAGTCTCAAAATTATTAAAATTGTACTAAGCGTTCAAAATCTTTAAACTTTTGTTTTTAATATAAATTTAAACTTAAGTCATCTACAAAACGGATTTTTTGTATACAAATTAGTTATTTTGATAATAGAGTTGCAAACTTTTATGTAAATTCTTGAGAGTTCTCTCGGGCCTAATGTCTTGAATTCGCTCTTTTTAAACCCAGCCTTAATATCTTTTACTGTTTTTTGAGGACTAGGTCAGGTCAGCATTAATAAATTACGATAATAAATAGAAACTCCAAAACTTATTTTACCGGAGTAGTCAACTGTTGCCCTTGTTATCGTAGGTTAATAAACTCATATTTACAAAAATACAGATCCATTTTATTTAAATTATTCAGCTTCATTTTTTTATATAGAATTTTAATCTGCGTTATATATATATTTAAGTACAAAAAAATTGCATTCCTTTTCTTATTGGTTCGTATAAATATTGACAAGAATACATTTCGTAATATTACTACATAAGCATAGAAATATAACATTATAAAACAGCCCTTACAATGAAAGACTTATTACGACATCGTTTAGAAGATAACTACATGCATATAAAATTCTTATATAAACAATCAAGCTAATTAGTTTTGTTATTCTTGGAGTTCATTTCTCGACACAAACATGTTGTTTACTGTACTAATTGTTATCAGTACTGTGATTGTTATTACTTTATACGTCGTTGGAAAATGTAACGAACGTTATTGGAAGAAACGTGGTGTGACTTTCTATGAGAAGAACAGATTGACTGGACCCTTCTTAAATTTTCTTACTGATAAAGAACCGCTTTTTATTCATCTTTATAAAATTTACCAGCAATATCCTAATGAACCGGCTGTTGGAATAGGTGGATTCTTTACACCTACACTTTATATAAGAGACCCCGCAAATGTGCAAGCCGTACTTTCATCAGATTTTAATTCTTTCTATCACCGAGGCGTTGAAATTAATGAGGATGATGTATTGGCCAACAACATCTTGTTTCTAAATGGCAATAAATGGAAACTTATAAGACAGAGTATGACACCTCTATTTACTACATCCAAACTGAAAAGTATGTTCTATATTATTGATAAAAGTGCACAAGATTTCTTACAGTACTTAAAAGAGAACAAAGAAATCCAAAAAGGTGACGCCTTTCATACCTTGTCTACATTTTGTAGTGCTGCCATCTGTGCTACAGTGTTCGGTGTAAATGCAGAATCAATATTCGATTCACCGTTTTTAAAGATTGCACGGGGAAGTTTTCGCTCAACCCTCATAACTAACATACAATTCCTACTTTCACATTTCGCCCAAAAATTTTGTCAAATATTAAATATAAAAGCTTTTAAAGAATTTGAAGACTTTTTTGTAGGAGCCATAAAGCAAGTTATTCGTCAGCGTGAGATTGAAAATATTAGAAGACATGATTTTGCTGATATTTGCATAGCTTTAAAGAATAGTGGGAAACTTGTTGACCCTGATACTGGTCTGGAATTAGATCCAACGGATGAGTTACTCGCTGCACAAGGATTTTTCTTTTTTGTTGCTGGAGTAGAACCGATAGCTACAGCAATGTTTGCTACTTTTGTGGAATTGGGTAAAAACCCAGAAATACAAAAACGTGTTCAAGATGAAGTTGATGGCGTTTTCGAAAAACATAGCGGATCAATATCTTATGATATCATTTCTGAAATGGTTTATCTCGATATGGTCATCAAAGAAGCTATGAGATTGCATCCCGCTATTGGTTTCGTAACAAGGAAATGTGTTGAGGACACCGTTTTACCAGTTGGTAACATAAAAGTTGATAAAGGAACAAAAATTTTTGTACCGATATATGAATTACACCATGATCCGAAGTATTTTCCCCAACCAGAGTTGTTTAAACCAGACCGATTTTCTAGTGAAAATAAACATAACATCTTAGACATCACATATTTGCCATTCGGTAAAGGTAAAAGAATTTGTATTGGTATGAGATATGCTCACATGCAAGTCAAAACTGGTTTAGTTCATATATTAAGACATTTTAGTATTAAGACAAATATAAACAAAGATGGTATGAAGTATATGAAGCACCAAATTCAAGTGAGATTGGAAAATGTAGATGTTGAATTTGTACCTAGATAGATGTGAACGACTATTTATTTGTAATAAATAAACTACAATCATATTTTATGATACTTTAAATAACGAAAGCTAGAAGTATAGATTAAAACAGTCTTTATATAAATAATATATCAAACAATATGTTCATTGTCTTAAATATTAGTAGCATTTAAATACTAGCTTGTATTGAATGTATTGAATGATGTTTGACAACAAACATTCTAATGAATTACTATGTAAATTGTAACACCTAATGAAATGTAATGAATTATTTTGTCATATATTTCAACATATGTTTAATGATAAGCATTAACAAATATCACTTCTATTGTAATTTTTGTAGTGAACTTAAATAAAGTTTATTTTAAAAAAGACGCTTATTTCATTTGTGGTCAAGGAACTATGTCCAACGAAGGTGACTATTTATTGGATTTAAATAAATAATTTCATTCATTTTACATACTTTGGTTTAAAAGAATTTCATTGTCTAAAGTTCTAAAAGATAATATAACAACGGTAAAATTTGTATTACCGGCTGTAAGTAATTAAGATTAGTATAATTTCTTACTGTCATAGATATCCAGCATCAAGCTGGTTGATATTTTCTACTTATCAAAACAAAACACGTATAAGTATATCTCTTTTTTTAATATGAAATACATACAACTTATAAGGTTTAAAAATCTTATACAAATAAGAAAAAAATATTTCATTCATAAATTATTTTGTTAGCATAAAGGCTACTTTTGGGGGGCTAAGAGAAAAACAATAGCTCTACTCCCGAAATAAAATCGAAATATAATAAAATTAATGTTGATGATATATTTTTTGTTCAATTTACATATATTAAACATAAAAAATTCATTACAAAATAGTGAAAACCGTTCTATGAGTATAATATGTCGTCAATCTTTTAACTATATCGGAAATATTGATTGTTTGTTTACAACAAATGTTCAATAACTACTTGAATGATAAGAAGTCATTTTACATTTTAACTTCGTATCTCAAGTGACATGACAATAATTTTCTGCTTGTATGTATATTGTATAGTATTCATATTAAGGAAAGGTTATGCTTACGTTAATTATTTAAAGTTCATTATATGCAAAGTATGTAGTAGATGTTATTTGGGTTAAACTGTTTAATAAATTACTGTAACCCAAACACAGATTCTGCAAAGTATTCCGTAATTGGAACAATAATCTTTCTTTAAGCAGCTTAATGGAATGTTCTACATGGATATAAATAATTCAAAAATTAAATAATATACTTTCAAATGATAACTTTAAAATATTTTTCTCCTCTATATCCTATATTTTATTATATACAAATAAACAAAACTTAATTCAAAAAATTAAAACCTCTTTAAATTTAATAACAAGACAGGTTTGTGGCATATTATAGAAATATATAGGTATTATTTAGTAATATAATATATTATGATATAATATAGAGCACCTAATGTGCATATATTTGTGTTAAAAATAAAGTTATCACGAGCATATGGCCTTAAGTGATAAAACAACAACTTCAGATTTACTAGTCACGATGATAATTTATTGCAATTTAAATTATACCACTTGGTAATAGGCTATTTATACATAGTATAATATTATTATTAAATATCCATTACATATATATAATTTAATTCAAATAATACATGATATACAAATTCATGCATTTATAAAGTTAACTTTAAACATTTAATATGTTCCCTGAATACTGGGTTGCACATCCTTTTATTAGAAATTTTAAAGAAATAGATATGAAATACTAATTTATTACAAACATATCGAACTGGCTTATAATCATTAAGATATTCATTATAAAATAGGAAGTGATAGGCCAATTGATAATCACATATGTAAATGGCTGCACACTTGTTTAATTATAGTAAATAATTAGTCTCAAAAATGTTCTTCTCTGTGCTAGTGATAATTTTTGTGATTTTATTGCTGATTTACATTATTGGCAAACGTAATGAGAATTATTGGAAACGACGTGGTATAGTTTTTCACAGCAAAAATAAGGTATTAGGCCCCTTTTGGAATGTTTTCACTAGTGGTGAACCGTTTTACCTAAATTTGCAAACCATATACAACCAATATCCTGATGAAGGTGCCGTGGGAATCGGAGGATTATTCACTCCCACTCTATATGTAAGAGATCCTAAGAATGTGCAAGCCGTACTGTCAACAGATTTTAACTCTTTCTACCATCGCGGTTTTGAAGTAAATGAGAATGATAAACTAGCTAACAACATTTTGTTTCTAAGTGGAAATAAATGGAAACTTATACGACAGAGCATGACACCTCTGTTCACTTCATTGAAACTGAAAAATATGTTTTACATTATGGATAAAAGTGCCCAAGACTTCGTTCAATACATAAAAGAAAATCCTGAAATCAGGAAAGGCAACAACACTTTTCAAACAATGTCGACTTTTTGCAGTGCAGCCATCGGCGCTTCAGTTTTCGGTCTCACTACAGAATCGATATTTGATTCACCTTTTTTAAAAATGGCCCTAAAAATTTTCAAACCAACATTTCAAACAAATATACGATTCGCTATATCCAATATGTCCCAAACATTATCTAATTTACTAAATATACAATTTTTTAAAGAATATGAAGATTTCTTTATTGGTGCCATCAAACGAGTGGTATGTCAACGTAAAGAAGAAAATGTGAAAAAGCATGATTTCGCTGATATTTGTGTGGCCTTACAAAAAAAAAACGGAACGCTTAAGGATCCCGAAACAGGATTGGAATTAGAACCTACGTATGAATTACTTGCAGCCCAAGCATTTTTCTTTTTCATTGCTGGGGTGGAACCCGTTGCTGCAGTAATGTTTAGCACATTAATAGAAATTGGTAAAAATCCAGAAATACAAAAAAAGGTCCACGAAGAAATTGATGACATGTTTGATAAAAATAACGGAAAATTAAATTTTTGATATGATTGCTGAAATGGTTTATCTAGATATGGTTATCAATGAGGCGATGAGAATGTATCCACCTATTGGTTTTTTATCGAGGCAATGTGTTGAAGATACTGTACTGCCATCTGGAAATATAGCAGTCGAAAAAGGTACAAAAATATTTGTACCAATATTTGAATTTCATCATGATCCAAAGTACTTTCCTAATCCAGAAGAATTTAACCCCGAGAGATTTTCACGTGAAAACAAAAGTAAAATGTTAGATATTACATACTTGCCCTTTGGTAAAGGCAATAGGATTTGTATTGGTATGCGTTACGCTCATATGCAAACAAAAACTGGTTTAGTACACCTATTAAGAAATTTTAATATTAAGACAAATATTGGAAAAGGAGGAATAAAATATATGAAACACCAATTACAAATGAGACTTACTAATGTAGATGTTGAATTTCTAAATAGATAATTTTTTATACTATTATTATTACTCTTATGTTGATTGTCCCTTATAAAATTTAGGTTGTTGAGTTTTTATATATTCTTTAATTTATTATAAATGATGAGAAAAAAATGCAAAAGTTTTTAAGCCTACAGCCCGATTTTTATTATTAATTTATGAACCAGTTTATCTTTACTACTTTTTATAAGAATTATTGATCCAAGGAAGGAATTTGAATTTATTATTTAAAAAAAGACTGTAATGTTTTAATAATAATAATTAAGAGTTTCGCTTTAAGACGTGTGTTTTACTTTCAATTAGTACTTTAAGCATTTATAAAATGCCTTCGTTGATTTGACAATATTTTCTATATTATTGATAACATTATTAATATGATAACATTATAAAAACTTATAAATAGGACAATAATATAAACTTATTCAAAATTTAAATTGTTAATACGTTTCAAATGATACAAAAAATATTTATCGTAAGCTTATAACAAATGTATATTACAAGTTTTTATTCTTTCTTCGGTACTAATTTTTATACTAGGCTATATGACAGACCGATTTTATGACAGACCGACAAATAGCATTCATGCAACCTATATTTCACCATGTTAAAGTAAAAGATTCTTCATACGTATTAATAAAATTCATCCACATACCGCCCTCTACCTTTTGAAATTTTTATATCTCTCAATCTGGTATTAAACTAATAGTTTATTAGTAAAAAAAATATTTTTTACTTTCATGACACATCATCTAATTTAATATGCAAAAAAGTACAAACAATATATAAAATATTTTTATTTCTTTAAGCTTATAGAATTTAATAGTTTTTTTTATAAAGATTTTAAAAGTGATTTTATATGCGTAATATTTTGTTTTACTACTTTAGATTGAAGGATTTTTCTATGAATGTAAAAATTGATATAACTGAACTGATTTAGATATGTAGTAGGACAAAGTTAATTTGTACTACGATGTATAAATATAGTAGAACATGTATGTATATTAAAATAATAAGAAGATAAAAACCTCAGACTTTGATAGAAAATAAAAAAAATATATCGGATTAAAGATAAATAAAACTTATAAAACAAATAAGAGCAGAATATTAGCTGAGTTTGTTGCAATAGTTAGGTGAGGGGTAAATATTAAATATATACATTACAAACTTAAGCTATTTATGATGTCACATAATGGTAGATTGCAGACCCTGGCTAAAACTGGGAAATTGTCAGGAAGAAGAGGGAAGAAGAAGATATTCTATAAGGACCTTTAAAGCTTGATATACTATGTTCAAATAAAGAAACGATAAAAAAAACCAAGCAAGTTACAGCACTTAAAAAAATATTTCCAGTAACGATGAGGAGAACTGTATTAAATCTTCCTTGCGTTACCAACATCCTTTGCTGAATTTTTGTTAAATGTTATTTGTTATTGCACTGACATACAAAAATTAAAAATTATTTATCAGTATAAAATAAAATTTCTATTGCTGCTGATTATTCATTTAGTCTCAAATATCTTCTACGTTCAAAAGTCAAAGGTCAACGATCTAATCTTTTAAATATAATGATGTCAATTAAATGTTTATTATTTAGGAATAATATCTCCAATTTCAAAACAATAGTTAAAATTGGCTCATGAACTATCTAAAACCCGAGAAATAAATCAAAGTATATATAATTAATATCTTTTTTCTATCAAAACGGAAAAAAGCGAAGATTAAAAATAATTTATAGTCAATGTCTGAACCACTAACCTGTTCCTTTTTTTTTTTTTTTTGATGACGTAGTGGAAACTCTTTTTACGAGCCGTCCAACCGACCTTGGTGGGGCCGGAAGGGATGTGTGAGGCTCGGCCTGGGCAGGCCCCTACTCACTAAAACCACTGCGAAAGCCATCGGCCGCTATGTCGGTGTACCCCGGATCTGTCAGCGACAGGGCACACCAGCGACTGGCCGGTCCTGGCAAAGACCGGACTTACTCCCTCGGAGAATGGGGGCGATCCCGGCAATTAGGACCACCCCGACGACGCCGGGCTTTCAAAAGGGCCGGGTTACCACGCCGACCCCAGCCCGGAACACAGGGGTGCTATTGGAGGCGTAGGAATTGCCTCCGTCGCACCCCCGTACGTCGCCTGCGGGGGGAGGGAGCATCAGCCGCCCTCTCCCTTTCCCGCTGAGATGCCTCCTTCGTGGACATGACCGTCTCACAGAAGGAGGACACCGCCAACCAGGACCCATCACTCTCGAGCATCTTCTCCACGACACTCGAAAGCGACAGGTCCACTCCGCCGAGAGCCGCCACAAGGTCTTGGCGCTGCGCAGCCCATCTCGGGCACACCTCGAGGGTGTGCTGGGCCGAGTCCACCGCAGCGCCGCACTCATGGCAGCCTTCTCCCGGCTCTCTCCTGGCCGTCCGACACAGGTAGTAACCAAAGCACCCGTGCCCGGTTAAGACCTGCGTCAGACGGAAAGTGAGGGGTTTGCGTTTCCGCCTCATCCAACGCTCTAGGACCGGGCGAAGCGCTGCCGTTGTACGTCTACCGTACGGCTGCTCCGCCAGGTACTAACCTGTTCCTAAGGCATTAACTAAGATAATAATTATTTAGTTTTTTGCTGTTTGATTGTTAAACTACTCTGCATTTTGTGGGTAATTTAGATACAAGCACGTTAATATAGAATTTTAAATACAGAATTATATATCTAAAAAATAACAATTTTTATTTTAAAATCTTCTATTATTTGTAAACAAAATTTCGTTACCTTCAATTTTTTTATAATTTATTCTAATTACAATTTTATTATTACATTTTTACATTTCTCAAGGAAATCCACAATACATCGTTCTAAGTTACAAAACAAAGGTTAGTGTCAAGGACGTAGGTTATAATTTTATACAGATACAACATTAGTAGCTTCAACCTCTTGTTAGTGAAGTACGTGTTGTAAACAAATTTTTTATCGGAGTTTTTGAGATTGGCTTTGATTTTTTCTCATAAAAATATACTGTGTGTGATACCTGCTGTATATAATAAACTTGATTATTATTATAATAGTGCACACTTTTTTACATTCAAAAATGTTATTGACGATATTGAGTTTTGTTACTCTATTACTGTTATTATTTTTGATTATTGGATGGTATAATAATAACTATTGGAAGAAACGCGGTGTTGTTTTCTACAATGGAAACGTATTGAATTCAATACTTTATGATTTTTTTACTGGCAAGAAACCATTTTTCATACACCTCCATGACATCTATAAGAAGTATCCAAACGACCCGGCCGTTGCGGTTGGACTATTCTCTATACCAGTTCTATACGTGAAAGACCCCACCAATATCCAGTACATATTATCATCAGAATTCAACTCGTTCAATCACAGAGGTATTGAAACAAATGAAAGTGATGTTTTGGCGAAAAATACATTATTTCAAAATGGCAAAATATGGAAGCTTTTACGAGAAAACATGACGCCTCTTTTTACTTCATCTAAATTAAAAAACATGTTTTATATTATGGATAAAAGTGCACAAGATTTCGTGAAATACTTAAAGAATGACAGGGAACTAAGACAATATAACACTTATCAGAAAATATCGATGTTTTGCTGTGCAGCTATCTGTGGAACAGTATTCGGTATTGGTACTGATTCAATTTTTGATTTACCGTTTTTAAAGATCGCACAGAAAAGTTTAAAGTCAACTCTGAAAATCAATATGCGTTTTGCATTATCCACTTTATCGAAAACTTTATTCAATAAATTTAAAATACACTTCTTTAAAGAATATGAAGAATTTTTTATTGAAGCCATTAAACAGGTCATACATCAACGTGAACAAGACAATATAAAAAAACATGATTTCGTTGATATTTGGTTAGCATTACATAAAAGTGGAAAACTTAAGGACCCAGACAATGGTTTCGAATTAGAAACTACAAATGAATTACTTGCCGCCCAAGCATTTTCGTTCTTTTTAGCCGGAGTAGAACCGACTGCCACAGCTATGTTCGCTACTTTATTTGAATTAGCTAAACACCCAGATATACAACAAAATATTCACGCAGAAATTGATAGTGTTTTTGAAAACCATAATGGTTCATTAACATATGAAATTATTTCTGAAATGGTATACTTAGACATGGCTATAAAAGAAGCTATGAGATTACATCCATCTATTGCTACATTATCAAGAAGATGTGTTCAAAATACTGTGTTACCGACTGGAAATATAGTTGTAGAAAAAGGTACAAAGATATTTATACCGGTATACGAACTTCATCACGATGAGAAATACTTTCCCGATCCAGAATCATATAAGCCTGAAAGATTCTTAAGAGAAAACAAACATGAAATCTTAGAATTTACTTATCTGCCTTTTGGTAAAGGAAACCGAACTTGTATTGGTATGCAATACGCAAATATGCAAATAAAAACTGGCTTAGTTCACATGTTACGACATTTTACTGTCCACACTGATATCCATCAAGGAAAACATAAATATTTGAAACACCTAATTCAATTAAGATTGGATCATATAGACATAAAATTTTTAAGAAGATAATATTTTAAAGATACGATCTTTTTATAAGCTTCTGATTTAATATTCATTTTTAGGTGAGAGGGATATAAATTAATATAACTTCATGCAGTTAAAACATTTTAATTAAATAAAATCTTTATATAAAAATAAACAGTAAAAAATCACAATTAATCGTTTCGTTTTTTCCTTAATTCTATCCGTAAAAAGGTTGAAAATTCAAGTCTGTGATATTTTTATTATAAACGAAAAAACCTTGGATCCTTATAAACGACTATGCAAGAAATTGTTCAAGTTTTTTCTCAATAACATAATAATAATTATATAAAATTATTAGTTATTGTTTAGATTCAGGGTATAATCTTTTTGCACAATTGGTTTATTCAAAGACGACATCCTTTAAACACTTCCTCCACTATCACTTGATTCTTTTACTTTTTTATTTTGTTTAAATACTAATAATAATTTGAAATCTGATTTTTTAATTAAGATATTTGCAGATTACTCATTTTTACTTCTCAGCTTGGAAATGAATATATATAAAAATTTCGTGTTTGTCCGCGATGGACTCCGAAACTGTTAAACCGATTTTAAATTTGATTTGCATTCTGTGGGCATTTTGATCCAACTTGAAAGATAGGATAGCTTACATCTCAATTTATAGTCACAATATTTTTTTATTGCAAATTATTTGTCTATTAAAGAAAATTATTTGTCATTATTACAATTATCTGTTGACTGAGTTAAGTATTCAATAGATGGCGCTCTGTTAAAAATACAAACGTCATATATGAGCGACTATTTAATACATAATAGCAAAACCACGTCGTGTTTCTGAGGCTTAGGTATAACCTAACCTTATTTATTAAAAAAACGTAACAGATATTCTTGATTATAGGGCGATACGAAGTTTGAAGTATATATATATATATATATATATATATATATATATATATATATATATATATATACTTCGAACCCTTTCATAAGCTATTCCTATTATATATATATATATAATAGGAATAGCTTATGAAAGGGTTAGGATAGCATAAAGAAGCTAAACGATGCTTTTAAATTATATTCAGCGATACAATTAGCCTCGCCGACCACAGTGCCAGTAGCTCAGGCAGGCAGGTCAGCTGAGTCCCGAAACTGTAGGAACGCTTTGTTGGTTCTTACACAAAGATTTCACAAACATAAAGATAGATTAACCTTCCAATTTATATTTATATGTCTTCTCTGCAATTTGGTCTGCTTGGATATTAAGAAATAAGATCAGAGAAATGTGTGAAGTGTGTTAAATCATTAGACATATTAACCAACCCGCCGCGTACTATACAAGTGATATGTCTCGACACTGCCATACCTAGATCGAATTAAAAATTACAACCTATATCAAATTCTGAAGTCTTAGTTTCATTATTGTAAGGTTTCACATAAATCTGTTTAGTAGTTTTTGCATGGATGATTAACAAATATTCATACAACCATACAGCAAAAACATCCTTACAAAGTTTTGCACATATAATATTAGAAGGATAAATGTTTACCACTCTCATATATGAATTATACATTTGTGTTCTCTAAAATAAAATAAAGATGCCTATTTAGATTGACATTTTAACTCCAAGAAAGAAAAAAGGTACACCTATTTTTTCTTTTTTTATTTCTGTGAAGTCGCTATAAAGTAATAAGTTCTTTTATCTGCTCCTCATATATACTTAAAAACTAATCTTATGTAATTACTTTTTTCTTTTGGCTTAAAGCTTTAAAATAGTCCGCGACATATTTCTAATCTTTAAAAAGATCATAAAATGAATAAAAATAATGTGTTACATATTTTTGTTTGATCTTGCAGTATCTAAAACAGTAATTAAAATATGACTATTCACTATTTTGAATACTACGAGTACCTTTAAATATTCCCATTGTACTGTGTACAGACAATAGAACACACAGGGTAAACCTACATACTTGTCTAGAATTAATCTTAAGAATAGTCTCGGAATAGAAGTGAAAACAACGCTTTGTATCGTACTAACTTAAGTGGGTTCCACCCAAAGGGTACCACTTTCTTTCACCTATAAAAACTGAACATCGAGCCCAAGCAAATAAATGTCTATTAAGGCGATGATAGATGTATGATTTATGTAAACATAAAACTAGTTACAATTAAGTTAATGAAAATCCTATGGTCTCAGCATCTCATAATTATAAAAGTCATCAACTTGAGTAGATTTGTCTCTTAAACAAGTTCCAAACCGCTTGTTAACATACGGCTGTATCATTAGTATGTACTCATCCTGATGTCATAAAGATATAATTTTTATTACCACCTTATAGAAAAGTTGTTAATCAGATTACGAAATAAACCCATTGTAGTTTTAATATAGACTTGTTTTATTGATATGCAGATAGAATTTGGTGAATTAAAATTTCAAATTAAAAGTACTCGTCATTACATTACATTCATATACATATATATGACGGCGCATTTATGATTTTAGAAATTAAATTGATTATTTTTACGATATATAATAGGACCTATTTAGTAAAAGCGAACGTCACCAACGGAAGGAAGTGACAGTCCGCTTGACGTAACTCGGGGAACTGGATGTATGGTACTAAGATCGGCGAATTGAACCGCGGGGTGAGGCATACACCACCTTGTCCGCGGAACGTCGTGTGACTTCGATTAATACTGAATACGAACTTTATAATTGAACCATGGTTATTGAGTGTAGTTAATTGTAGTATGTGCTAATTAATAGTTTAAATTATAACGTCGGTAACCTATACGTCAAATGTCAATTATTTTCCTATTGCCCGTCAACCTACGCCACTATAGAACAAGTAAATAATCATGATAAGGGCCAAGTTTCTATATATATATGTATATATATACACATATATACATATGTATATATATAAATTTTCTAATTGTTTTATCTACTCACTGAGAAAAGATCTGTATAAGTGGAATATGGATATTCAATTAACTTCTGTTACTCTTAACAGAATTAATAAATATCTGTCGGTTTTAAAAAGAAGGCTTGCAGCGTCTGAAGTCTTATTACACGTGCATTAGCACATGTTATAAACAGGACTTTCAAGGATAATAAAATTGAATTTGTTTTTAGAAAATCCTGTTTCACGTTATTCTTTTAAGAGCCGTTACAAGCAAGTGTAAGATAATTGGGTCAGGAATGTAATTTCACAAGAATAAGTAAATATTATGAGAATGATAATATCCTAAAACAAATAAGGAAACTATAATGAGTTATGTTCAGAGAGAAAATCAGTTTATGGGTAGAATTAAAGAATAAAATAATAAAAATATATCATCGGTCTTATAAATTCATTGATATTATAAGTAAAAAGTTGTTGTCAGTAAAATAGGATATATAACAATAATGAATCATTCAAAACTCCTGAGCTCAAACAAAATAAACATTAAAATATATGGAGACAGCTAGATGAATTTTCACGTATTCAATATATACCGTCTTGCTATTAATAAAGATAAAGTGTATAACTTTGTCGGTACGCTACTTCTCTGAAACTATATGTAAAATAACTTGTTTGAGTAACAACCCGGGTTTGATTAACAGAGAACCAATAAGAAATAACAATACTGAAGATTCTAGTGTATAAATAGGATGATTACAACTATATTGCGCCTCTTGTTTAGAACAAATGCTCACAGAGTTCTCTGTAATCTCAAACCCTAAAGGCGTACCTGAATACCGTACAATACAAACATAAGATGATGACTGTAGCCTATACGATATGGGATTACGTAAATAGGATTATATTATACAACCTGCATATAGGATTAAAGTATATGTTTTACACTGACAGTAATAGTAACATAAGACAGCGTAAATTTTTACTGATATTAAGTTTCTACTTTCACATATAAATATATTTGAAGAAAATTTTTTACAGATTACTAATTGACTAACCCAAATCAGGGCAAGATAGTATCTTCTATATATATAAAAATGGATTGCTGTTCCTTAGTCTCACTAAAACTCGAGAACGGCTGGACGGATTTATCTTATCTTAGTCTTGAAATGTTCGTGGAGGTTCAGGGAAGGTATAAAAGCTGAAAAAAATTGATTCATTACTGGGAAAACCATAAAAACAGCCCTTTTCTATTTCCCATACAAACGTTTTTTTGACATTAGATTTGACAACTAACACAAAACCCGGAGATTTATGGCTTACAGGTAAACTCCAAAAATATAAATAAAAAAACGTAATAGATATTTCTTGATTATAGGGCGATAAGAAGTTCGCCGGGTCTTCTAGTAATTGATAAAATATCTTGTTGTAAGTTCAAACCCTAATCGGTATGTTAAGTTTTCAATCTATATTTTCTTTGGACTTAAAATCAAGTATTAAGAGTTAATTGGTATAGAAAATTATCTATTAAAAAGGATAATCATAAGAAACAATGCTTTTAATTTTATTTTTTAAAGTAACACATTAACTGGAACCGAATATGTTTATTCGAATCATAATATAGAATGAGATTAATTTCGAAGTCCGAGTAACGAAACTAGTAAAACACAATTTCTTTCTTCAGCTTGTTTTAACCACTTCAGGAGAGTAATTGATTCACTTTACTTTTTATTACACTTTGCTCTCTTCTCTACCTACAAGGAGGGACCATAGGATCTAATTGAAAACTAGTGAATATATAGTATTATTGCAACGGTGAATTTTCTGCACCGACTCCTTTAGTATTTAAAGAATCTTAAAGAGAAATTTTAGAACAAAATGACGCTAGACATTGTCCAACCAATAGGAGGAAGACATCTTGTACTTTTCATCCTCTTGTAACTTATTGCTTAGTCTACCAGCTCATAAAAACTTTCAAAAACTACAGCCAATCCATCTGAAAGAGCAGATACAAAATATAGGTGCCAAAATGTTGCAACACTAATCAATTGCCTTCCCTTTATTTATTATTTTTGAAAATATAAATTTTCTGCAAGGAAAACATAGGACATTAACCGTTTCTTTAATATAATTACAACGTTTGCTTTGAACATAAAAATATATATGAATAAAAAATATGGTAATTATTTATCATGAAACTGTTAAAACTTTTTGCTATTTTTTTTTGGCAACGTGCATTTCATCATTTGACATAATATGGTTACGGTATGGTGTAGCTCTTACGGTATGGTGTGGCTCCTCGGCACCGTTGTGCCGACGAAGGCTGGGTCGAAGGCAGCGGGCTTATGCTCGCGACCTGCCTCCCCAGTGAGGAAGCCTCCGGGCATCGGTGGAGAACCGGTGTCCGGGTAACATAGGCTAGAGGAAGAGCGGCGTGTTTGGCGTTCCCTGCTCTTGAGTCGGAGGGGTGGTGTGGTCAGCCACTGATACCCCTGCCGAAGGCGGAGTCCCTTTCGGGACTCGTGCGTAGTGAGCGGAAGTATGGCTTGCCGTTCCTGCTCACTAGTCTACGCACAGCGCAGAGAACGCCGAGGAGTTTAGTGGGTGGAAATCCCACACGCCCCCGCCGTGTTTTCCCCTGCGGCGGGAAGTCTTTGAAAGATTCTCCTCGTTAAAAAAAAAAATGGTGTAGAATAAACAGCATAAAGTAATTAGGATTTTCGTTACATTAAACTTATTTCTGTAAAAAATATATCAAAAATGTTAAAATTTAAATAGTTTTCTGATTTCAGTATGAATATTTATTAAACAGACTTCGTATCTACTCAACTATAAATGCAAAGGAAATTGTATTTTCTAATCCCTGAAGAATTTCTAGTTTGCTTGTGTTTTCGTAGCTTCCGTATTGTTATCTGAAATTTATGTAAATCTCCATTGTATATAAATCTTTTAAATATATTCATCATCAGTGTTGGGTAAATGTGTTCAATCAGTACGATTCAAAATTGTTATACAAGATGGATAAGACGATACAGAAATAAATGAACCCACACTTACCTGACTAAATTAAAAAGAATTCCATATAGAAAAATATCTTTAGTATTGCTTGCTTCAGTCACTGAACAATATTTTTGAAATGAAACTTCCAATAAAAATTTCAACAAGGTTTGTTCAACGTCAAGCGTTCAACGCTTCTGGGGAAGGAATAATAGAAAGAGACGGAGCGAAAGTAAATCGGGGGTTAATTATGAATGGCAAGCAATATTTATAAATGAAACTTAGATCTTATTAATGTTTATAATGTTTGTCTTAAAGAAACAATATTTCACTAAAAATGGACTGCCACCCCTTCCTCTTTTCTTTTCCACATTACAAAGGTTCATTTCTTCCGGGCGGAGGGACTCCACAAACTTTTTTTTGTTGTTAATTGTATTTTTAAAAACCTATTTCTATTATCATGTCATAAATACAATGTCTAAAAACTCAGAGACAGTAAGTAATTATAAATAACATAGGCTATATAATGATGGTTTCGCTTCACCTACCTGCCATAATGCAAGCAAGTAATATTTAAAGTAGTGCAACTTCATTAACAAAACCTTTTAAATTGCAATTTTAAAACAATTTAGACGCCGTGAGCAACTTTTAACGATACAGCAAATCGCCGCCAGTTGTAAGAATTGGTGAGATTCAGATTATCACTCTCAATGTTGCAATTATTACGAATTTGAAAGCTTTATTGGGGAGAAAGTCAACGAAGTAACAGTAAAAATGCGACACTCACTTTGTGTTAATAGTATTTACGAAGCAATTTGTTTACACAGCTTCAGAATAAAGCTATATGATTATATTGTTCACACAATGTCTCAGTAACCCATCGCTACCAATTCACACATTTTTAAAGTCTCAGAAATAGTCCAGAAGTTACGATAAAAGCAATCAAAGCAATTTTTAGGTATGTGGTGCACATATCGAATATTTAAGAGATTAAACGAGAAATGTTTTCCATAGATTTTATTAATTAGGCTATGGAATTTTCATATATGGATGTCATGTGAAACCTTTGTATTCCCGCTTTATCACAGCTAAATCACGTGATATTTATTTTATGACATCTTTTTTTTTATTTTTTTAAAGTTTTTAAAACAGTAATTTTTGATGATTCCAAAATTATCTGAAATATATGTAGAAAAGTATGCGTGTTTATAATTAACACAGGAAATATAACTGGTAAATAAAAAAACAATACTCATTCATTGTACTATTGTAAATAAATAGATTTATCTTGTTAGTGTGAGTGATGTGTGACTTGCGATTTGCTTAAATATTCGTACGTCGAAATTTAATATTCATTGCTTCTCCTACGGTTTAGTGTTGTAGTGGTGTTATAAAAGACATTTAAGTGTTACTACTATTTTTCTTTTATCAACAATATTTCTCTAAAAAATATATCATACAAATATTTGAAACAAGGAATACTTCCTTGTTTTTTTAATTACACATGGACAAAATAGGTTTTTTTACTTAAAGATGGGTTTTGTAAGAAAATGGGATTCTTCATGTCCGCGGGTCTACGATAGTTGGCACAGCAATGGTGCCAAGTGGTCGATACAAGACCTCCCGCCAGAAGACGATAAAAAAGCTCTGCATCTTCTGATTAACTACCTCATTCCTGATGAACCCCTTTGTTCTCTTAGCAGTAGGTTCATTTAAGAGTAGACACTCTATTATTTTTATGACCTTATAAGAAGTAAAATTGTTGTACTTTTTAATGTAATAAAAAACACAACTAAAGTTATTTTTTGCACAACACTACTAGCGTAATTTAAATCATGTACATATGTTACTTTTGGTTTTACTTTCCAATAGTAAAAAAAATAGTTATAAAATTTAATAACCGCTTGATTTCATTGCTAGTAAGAGATCCGAAACGTAAACTTTGAAAAGTATAAAATAATTTAATAAAACATTTATTAATTTAGAGTTCATCGATGATCCGGAGAGTTTAAAATGTATAACTGATATCTGGCGAGAATGTTTAAGGCAGAGAATGACACTCGCTTGTTATATTGAAGAAGAAGGTGAGAAAACTTTAGCAGCCCTAAATGTTTGTATTGTAGACGACGTTGACGAACGATTTCCAACAATCAAGGTCAGTTATATGAACAGGTATTAAATAATTTCTTTTAAGGAAGCATTTTATTCCATAAGCAGATAGAAAGGCCTCAGACACTAGATTTATTAGAAATTAAATAAATTTTTCATTCAAATCTCCCTTTATTTCACATGTCTGCGAAATTGTTTAACATGTCCAAAAGGCTGTTATTGCATTTTTGTGTTGTTCATTCCGCAAAGAGACCTTAAAAAGAATGTTTTAGGTGGAAGGTGAGGCCTGGAAAAATGTCTTCTCTGCGATGGAGTATGTGCAGCGAAAATGTGATCCGTTTAAATATTTGGGCTGTAGTAGAATACTCAATGCCTTTGGCTTGGTAGTAAAGAAAGAGTATAGAGGTCAAAAGTTAGGAAGCAGGATTTTATCAGCAAGGTGAGATAATCTACTTCAATATTGATTTAGAGCATGTAATTAAAATTTCAAGATTCCAACTACTTGTGTATAAATATTTTTTATTGTTAGACCTATGCTTAAAATAATTCCACAATTTACTGATTGAATCATCTAACGAAATTTAATATTGTTCAGAGAACTCCTGTGTCATCCTCATGGTATACAAGCCACTTCTACAATATTCAGTGGTCCAGCGTCACAAATATCAGCAGTTCGATGCGGATTCAAACCAATATCTGAAGCTTCTCTAAAAGAACTCGCCGAAAACGGTTTGAAATACCCTCCAGATGAGAACAGGTCCATAAAACTGATGGTCAAGAGCTTTGTTTGACGCTATTAAATAGTAATAACTGGTCATATAAAAAACTTATTTAAACTAAATAATCATATTTAGACCATAAATAGAATTTTTATTTAATATCAAGGCTAGTGTAAACATGTGTTGTGTAACAAAACAAGTTCTTTGTAAGAAAAACAAATTAATAATTATTTTCTGATATTAATAAATTTGTCTATTTCAGTTTTGTTTTTTGTAGGGCACTTTACTAAAATGAAAGCAATTGTTTCCGTTGTATTAACGATATATCTTTTTCATAATTATCATTCTACTTTTACTTATTTTAACTTAGCTGTGGGCGTAAAAGATCCGTTAGCCAGTTAAGATAAAATTTGTATAAAGACGGTAAAGTCGTCTTAGTAAAATAGATAACAATCGTAAAATGTTTCATAACATTTAGTAATCTTTGTAAATAGTAGAGTTTTCGACGAATTGAATAATAAAATGTTATCAAAAGTCAAAAAGCATCATTTATGACAGCATGGCGCCCAAAAAATCCAGAACTAGTTCGACGTTACTTTTTACTCGTATCAAAGATTTTCAAAAGAATTATTACTCTCCAGAGAACTTAATGTACAAATTTTATTATTTGTTTAATATTTTCCTTGAAATTTCCTTTCTATTACAAATCTGTAAAAGTACACGTTAAAAATGGCAAATATATGTGAAGCGGTTCTTAGACACTACAAGTTCAGTAAAATTTTATAGTTTTCATATTTTTCCTCTACTTGTTGTATTTGGCCAATATTTGTTTGCTATATAAACGGCGTATACTTTTATTAATAAAAGAAAGACAAACTGAAATATAAATATAATGAAACTAATTATTATTCACTTGATTTGAAAACTAGTTCATTTATTAAGATTTGCATATACGAGTACTTCTTATTATTTTGAATTCGATGTGTCCTAAGAACTAATTGTAGTAACCTTTTCATTTTTGTTTTTATTTTAGGTTGACTAATTTCATAAAGATTCATGTATATTGTTTATCCTCTTTTGTCTATTATTTCATTTTATAAATCCTATGTATAGTGTTTTTGCAATTTTTGAACTCTTTGTATATAAGAGAACTTAGTTTAGAGGTATATATATTAATAAGTATTTGGTCAACAAAAATGTCATGAATGTGTTCACTCTGCTATAATAAGTACATTCTGTTGTTTCCTTTGACTAACTCCTAACGATATAATATAGAATTATCCATGTAAAAAACTTAGATAACCAGCACACTATTGATAGGAAGTTAGCATTACTAATTTCTTACAAAGTAACTATTATCTGATATCTCCTTAATAGTAAACAATGAATTTTAATTAGCAGAATTATAAAAACATCTTCGAAAAAAAGCTATTCGTATGTTAATTTATTTAATAATACCGGAAACGTATCTTTAAGAGAAAAAAAATATGGTAATCATTACTAAAGGCTCGTGTTAGTCAGGTTTAAAGAACAGAGCACAAATAGATTGTTAAGAAAACGAATTTGCTCTTTCGGACTCATTTGGTCATACATAAAGCATATACTTGTGTGTAAAGTTTTATGAGAATTACTTTAAATACTATATTTGTTTTACGTAATAAATAAAGGCTGAAACTAATATTTTCGGATTTACTACGCGATTTTTTATTATAAACTACATACTACCGACGTTTCGGTTACTGTAATGATCACGGGCAGACGAGATGTGAGTGTCTGTCAGTGGGTCTTATTATTTTATCACCTACCTATTTGTATATCTTATTTGCTTAACTTTTAGATGCCTGTAGCATATTTTATACGTATCCACCGATTAACCAGGTTCCATGAATTGAAATGGAAATTTCAATGAAAATTAATTGGCTTATGCATATTGAAACATGAAAACAACTTAAAACTATATCATAATCCATGCCGATGAAAAACAAAAGAAAACTTAACAATTAAGATTCATACTTAAAAAATTATTGGTACACATTTGCTTCTAATATTGTGTTCATTTTTTCGGGTCTATGAATATTTAAATATTATCCTTTTGATTAATATTTAATACATTGAACATGAATCTTGAATTTAATATGAAGTATAATCTGACGAACATCTTAAGGCCTATGACATTAAAATGAGATAAGACTTGACTATAATTGATGTAAATGTATGATTAACTATCTTCTTTCTAAGCTTCTTCTTAAAATGTCGATAAAAAGGTACACAGTTATAATAATGCTGGCCTATTTACCACATCTGAGTAACTATTTCGCGCGAGCTCTCTCTCTCTCTCTTACTTCGGTATGTATATACATCTAACATTTGCTTTTCATGTCTTAATTACAAGAAGGTTTTACCTATCATTATTATCAGTAGATAACGCATTGCTACTGTATTAACCAAATAAAAGCAAAATTAATTATTAAAAATATCCTTTTTTACAAATTAAATCTAAATCTTTCTGTAGTACCTAATTTATTCACTGAACAAAAATATCTATTGCAATTATTGCTATAGTTATGAAAAGGTATCAGCAAAGTGGTTGATTCTTTCTCTGCTTCCAACATATGAATGGATTTAAAAAAAGGTATAAGCTGTTTTTTTTATGAAACACAAATATGATGAAATTTAAGATCTATTTATCTCGTCTGCCCCTGATCGAGACTCAAGACTTGAAACCTCATATAGACTAGTTTTTACTTATTTTTACTGACGTTGATTAAATGTTCACAATTATATGGTTACATAAAGCAATAAAAAAAATATACATTGCGTAGTTTCACATATACTGAATAATTTACTTTAGTAAAAAAACATCATAATAAGACTATTTAATAACAAAAGAAATGGTAATCACAAGACTTCCCTGTCCGTGGTTCCATCTTCTACTTCAAGAGGTTTCTCATTACTTGAGGTTTCAAACTAGCTGTTTGAATATTTTAAAAGGTGGTAGAGCCTAGCTCTAGTCATGTTACTACAGCTCGAACAAGGGCTGGCTCGACCAGAGAAGTGCCACTCTCTTACAGAAGATCAGCGTGAAGTAGCCTTTTAATGGCTGCGTTTCGTCCAATGAATGAGAGCACCGGTTGCGTTTTCCCTATTCCCTCCCTTTCCTGCTCTTTCCCTATCCCCACCCCTCCCTTATTTTCCTCAACAATCAAGGTTGGCAACGCATCCGTAACATCTATGTTGCGGATGTTCATGGGCGACGGTCACTACTGCCCATCAAGTAGTCTGTCTGCTCGTTTGCTTCCTATGACATAAAAAAGAGTGCTTATACTTTATAGACAAGAAAGATGTGGATCTCCGATTCCATTTTTTCTGGATCTCTTACAGCCCCCCTTAAGCCCAGCAGGGTCCACAAAAGGGGCGCTATTACCCACTTTGGAAAAGGTTGTCATAGATTAAGAGACCGAATGCTTAGTTTCTGTCAAAGACCAATCTAAGGCTTTATAACCATTTCATAACGTACAACACCAAATGCTCTATAACGTAATCCAGACGTTTATTTCTTAATGATATCCATAATCTAATTATTATTCGGATAAGATTTGTTTTCAGAACAACTCTGTTTTATATTGAAAGTATTTAAAATAAGACACAATATTATCGGATAAATGTAGAAACGTTCTCTTCTATGATGTAAATTTTTTAACGATGCTTATGATTGTTTTAATAATTAACTTGAACATTTCCTATACGGTCAATTAAGGTATATTAATAATAAAGTTTAAGTCTACAGTCTCCACCACGGGATTAAAAGAAGAATTTCACGATCTTGTTCCTAGTCTCATCAGAAATAACTCAATATATCACAATTTTTATTCGTCTCTTAAAGTTCTTATATCAATGCCATTCTATACATGTACGACTTTAGTGCAAATTTACGATTCCATACCCTCCTATTTTATCATAATTGATTATTTCACATGGTGTCGTTATCTCTACAATAGATTTCGTTTTGTGATATATCTACTGTTGATATATCAAATATATTTAGATAATAGTAATTATTGTGTCAATTCTAGTAAGGTCATTATAAAAGTGCAAAAAATATATAATCCATATTTATATCTGAACTCGTATTCATACTCTTATATTATAAATTTGTTCTTCAATAAGTAGTTACTTTACTGCTTAAACCTTTATCCTTTTTTATGAAATTCCTTAAAATACTCCGGCTCCTACAATATTTTTAAGAGAAGACAATACTTTTATTCTCACTGAATATCGATTCTAAAACCTTAATTAAAGCGTCTGCCACATATGGGAACTGGACCTCTGTAAAAAATCAGCACTAACAGAATTACAAACCAGGTATCCATTAACAGAAAGTGATGGTATATCGTAAGTCAGTTAACACATTTCTATTCTAAAGACAACCTAAAAATTGCAAAAAGTTTGTTACCTGCATCAAATAAAACTTAATATGTCTTAAGATATTTAGGCTCTTAACAGCCGCCTTACAGGCTAAACTGTGAGCATATTAAGCTTTTATGACAGTGAAATATGTTTAAGATATCACTTTGCAGTTATATATGAGTTATAAACAATTTTTTACCACTTAATCGTTAAGAGCAATAGAGGAATAAGGAAAGAGTCATGTTCAAACAGAACAAGACTCTATATCCATTTACAAGCAGTGATTAAACAATTTTTCAGAGTCTGTTCTGTGTTTGTCAAGTATATCTCGCATGAAACCATCTGCAGTCATATCAATTTTAACAATAACCTTAATGTAATGTCAAACGTTTACAATCATAACTTCTCGCAGAGTTGAGAGTGACGGTTGTGCGTACAGAACATATGCATATATTAAGGATCAATATTTAAAATAAATTCGTAAGTTTTCCTTTTAAATACGTATTTCTATTACAAAGTTTTCATCTTTTATATATCGACCATATATTTTATTTTCATAAAATAATAATTTATTATTTTTTATTGATTGCTTTGGCTTATATCATTTGAAAAGACAAATTCATTTAAATGTTTTTAAGGTAAAATGAGGTGAACAGTCACTTTTAAAACAGTTCTTAAAATCTTAAGGTGAACTGGTTGTCGCTAATGGGAATGACCTCCATCAGGAAATTAGTCATTAAATTTTGCAACAAAGTTGCGATTAATATTGAGCGCAAAATTATATAAGTGCTTTATTATATATTTTTCGTTCCCTTTTCATTTTAGATCTTCACAAATTAAGAAGTTTAATAAATCATTCACAAAACTTATTTTCTTTAAAGTCATCATCATCTTCAAATAGGACTTTGTTTACAATATCTTGTCTTATATTCGCAAAAGTATAATTTGATATTGATTTCCATAAATTGATAATGTAATCTATAATCATAATGGCATGTCGTAGGTCCTGTCAAAAATAAGCTTTTATAAATAAAAATGGGTTTTGTAAGAAAATGGGACTCTTCATGTCCTCGAGTCTATGACAGTTGGGAAAGCAATGGTGCTAAGTGGGTGATACAGGATCTACCTCCAGAAGACGATGAAATAGCGCTGCAGCTTTTGAGGGAAAACCTTATTCCTGATGAAACCCTCTGTTCACTCAGCAGTATGTGGAATTTCATAATATCATTATTAAATTTCAGTCACTAACTGTAAAATAAAATTTTAACTATCAATTCCAACATCTGGTCAGCCATACATAAAATATATCCATACACTCACTAATGTAAATCAACTAGTTTACATTACTGCAACGCTCTTCTCCCTGCAACACGATGGAAACGGCACCGGCACAGTGGATCCATTGAATGCTAAGCGGTTTTGTCTCAAATTGACGCATTAAAAATGTTTTATTTGTCATTTTAGATCTCAAAGATGACCCGGAAAGTTTTCGGTCCATATCTGATTTCTGGCTAGCATGTTTTGCTCAGAGAATGAGCCTCGCTTGTTACACGGAAAAAGAAGGAAAGAGAACCCTAGTAGCGATAAATGTTTGTGTTGCTGATACAATCGAAGAAAGAGTTCCAGAAATCGAGGTTAGTTTTAAGCCTTAATAAGGAATGTGCTTTGGTTTGCAAAGTTCTAAAGTTATATACAGGAAAATAAAACAACTAACTTTAACCTAGTCTTTAAAAAAATCAGTTTATTTTTGAGAAAACAATTTTTATCCATCATTTTAACGACTGTCATTATTTAAATTAAAAACGTGTTGCACTAAAAGTCAACCTATAATTCTAGATTGAAGGAGAAGCTTGGAAAAATGTGTTCAATGCTTTGGAGTATATAGAAGAAAAATGTGATGCTTTTAAATATTTTGGCTTTGATATTCTTCTTCATGCACTCGGTTTGGTAGTGAAGAAAGAGTATAGAGGTGAAAAGTTAGGAAGCAGAATGTTATCAGCAAGGTGAGAAAATGTTTTTAAATACAAAAGGAATATTCATTCTATTACAACAATATTTTCTATATCTTGTTTATACCTCCGTGGAGAAAACTCGTAAAATTTAACTGATATTTTTATTTAAATAAGTTTAATTCAATATCTCTCGAATATAAGTAATGTGGAAATTTTGTTGTCTAGGGAACCCTTAAGTATTCCACACGGTATAAAAGCAACAGCTACAGTATTCACTGGTCCAGCATCACAAATATCAGCAGCTCGAAGCGGATTCATATCAATATGTGAAGTTTCTCTGAAAGAACTCGCCGAAAACGGTATGAAATACCCTCCAGATGAGAACAGGTCTATAAAACTGATGGTCAAGAGCTTTGTTTGAACTATTAAATAGAAAAAACCGAGCGTATAGAAACTTATTTAAATGAGACAAACGTATTTAAGTTATAAATAGAATTTGGTATTCAATATCAAGGCTAGTCTAAACTAGTGTATGACGCTAGAAGTTTCCTAACTACAGTACGAGTATAAAAAACTTATTAATTTTTTTTTTCAACGACTTGTTTTATATCAATTTATTTTTTCTATCGCAGCATTGTTTAACGATGTACAGATATATTTAATTTAGTGATATAATATGTTTTTAATAAAAAATATTGTTGTTATAACCGTAAATTCGTTTTAATGTTTTATTTGTACAAAGGCTATGTTATTAAAAAACACTTTTAGCTACTTACGTAAGTGAGGAACAATCAGACTAATATGGTAATCAAAGATAAAAAGTCAAAGAGCGTCAATTATGTATTATCAGACGATGTGACGTTCGGACAATCAAGGTCAGAATGCTTAACACAAGTCTGCATCGCTTCTTATCCAACATCTTACTCTAATTTGCGAAGATTTATCAATAAAAAACTCTTAACTATCGATATGTAGTGTGACAATGCTAACCTGGCGTAAGAATAGACGCTAGTTGAATGTCTGATTAAAATTTTATGATAATAAACAATTTTTTAAAATAAGATTGTGTAAGAACATAATTGATAAGAATCAATTATATAAATAACTTTTATTAATACTTAGTTTGTTTAGTTTCCCTAATTATATAGAATAAAGGCACTACTAAACGCTTATACGCTCGTGAAGAGTGAACAATTTATATAGGTATTTACTTTGTTTATCAGTTTGTTCAGTATTTGGTGGATTTATGATATAAAAAGGTTACATATGCATTACAAAACATCGTACCTACAAGTGTAAGTCTTCGTTAGCAGATCGAATAAATCGGTCGAGAAAATCAAATAAATGGATAAAATAACAAAATATAATTGATGTACTCAGCGTAGGATGTGAATAAATTATACTTTGACTGGACCGAAATTTACTCAAACATCATTGAGGAATACTATATTCTGTCCGGTTCAGCGAGTGCGTCATCTCGCGGAAAGAGGCCGCTGAACGAGCGCGGGAAGATGACCCCTCCTCGGCGCCCCTGCATCGACGAAGGCTGGGTAGAAGGCAGCGGGCCTACGCTCGCCAAATGCCTCCCCAGTGAGAGGAGCCTCCGGGCGTTGGTGGGGAACCGGTGTCCGGACAACATAGGCTGGAGTGAGAGTGGCGTGTTTGGCGTTCCCGGCACGCTGCTCTAGACTCGGAGGGGAAGTGTGGTGAAGCCACTATGACCCCTGCCGAAGACGGAGTCCATGGGACTCGTGCGTAGTGAGCGGAAGTATGGCTTGCCGTTCCCGCTCACTAGCCTACGCACAGCGCAGAGAACGCCGAGGAGTTTAGTGGGTGGAAATCCCACTCGCCCCCGCCGTGTTTTCCCCCGCGGCGGGAAGTCTTTGAAAGATTCTCCTCGTTAAAAAAAAAAAAATACTATATTCTGACAGATACTTAAACAGAATTTTTAACATGATAGCCAAAAGAGAAACATGCCAAGGAATTTCTCGTAAATAATATAAAAAATAAAAACTATCCTTTAACTTTAGTTACGTTAAATAATAAGCTTCTTGTTTCATAAGCGATTAATCATACAGAATAACATCGCCACTTTGGCGAAACTCCAAATATTACTCGAGGTCCGCGCCTATACGCCTATATATATTCTCAAGTCTGCTCTATAAGCCACTGGCTAATATATTTAATAGTTAAATGAAAACTTAAGTAACAGATTAAAAGAATGTAAACAAAAATATACTACTCTTTGAATTGTTGGTGTTTCCGTAGATTCATGAACGTGCAAGGTTGTGAGTTGTGACTAGACTAGGGCTTAGTTCCTGATAAGACTATTAAGGAAAAAAATATCGTGCCAACAGTAGAAGGCCATCTAGATTTAGATTTATTTTTTTGACTGCAACATTATTTTTAATGTAACATAAATATTTCGTAACAATAAACTTATAACATGTCGTTATTTTATAAATTAAACTTTATCCATCGGTATGATTACTGTAATGTGTAAGCAAGAATTCCATATTTTTATGGATATAAGAAATAAACATTAAAAAACATAGAACGCCAGAGACCATAATCACACATACTTCCTGTACATTAATAGTTTATTAAAAAGAAAAAAAACTCAACATGTGGTTTGCTACTCTTATTAAAAAGTTGTTTAAATTATGAAGAGAAGGTAAAAAACTGTGCTTTGCTGTCTTTATGATAAGCCTAATAGCTGGATACCCTTAAAGTGACCATACTCAATACGCCGCCTGTTCGTCAATAAATATAAAGTCATGAACATACTTATATATCAAACGGAAAGGCACTTTCTTTAATGAGAAAAATCTTTATAATATCTGAGTCAAGTCTTATAGTTGATTACATTCTCGAAAATATTGTATCTTGTGAGGAGGTCACACCGCCACAAATATCATTTAACTCATTATCTTGACCTACTTATAAAAATCCTAGTTTATTTTTATACGCGGAACTATTGGCATTCTCTAATCTAAAACAATTTACTGCACGCATGTCTCTTTTTATTCCTATACAAAAAACAAAATACATATCTATAAAAATAAAAATATTGCATTTTACTACCTTTTAAAGCAGCTTTGCCAATGTAGACTTCAGAATCAAAATTAGACTCATCTAGTTCTATGCGGAATTCAATACGAGACGTTTGTTTGTGAAAATATTTAACTACTAATTAGTATTCATAAGTTGTTCAGTAAATCGTCTCTCATACAAAATAGCAAATAGGATATAGTATGGCCATGACTATGACACATCGCTATACAAATACCTATTGTATAAAAATATATTAAATAACTAAATATGCTTTGCCGTGATGACATTGAAATCATTATTATATAATAATGTCTGTACCATTAGTAAGATGAGACACAACATAAACATTTAAGTTTTTACGTTATTCGATGTGTCAGAATAACATACCTATCTAATCTTAATTATAATAAAAAAAAATGTCTTGATAGTTCCTTCAGAATTGATAATTATTTAATTATTTTTTCCTTTTTATTTGTTTAATACCACAGTATTTTTTAGATCTATCATAAATCTAAGTCATCGGTTCTAAGAGCGCCTGCTAGAAGTAAGGCTCAAACTATGAGATTAGGATGTCAGGAAGTGACTGAAGAATTACTAGTGAAGTCTTCTCTCAAAAAAGGACGAAAGGAAAAGTCACATTATTAACGATTTATTTTAGTATTTTATTATATTGTCCACGCTATTGCTTCGAAAAAGAAAGAACTAAACTCTGTATAATTTATGAACGAACGAACTCTATAATCAGGTTGTAGAATAAATGCACAGTGACACTAATGATTGCTGTTAGTCAGTGGTGGCCTAGTGGTTAAAGGGCCCGCCTCTCCTGCACGAGGAGGCGGGTTCGATCCTGGACCTAGCAAGTACCAGTGTGATTTTTCCGAGTCATATGTACTTTCTAAGACTATTTAGACATCACTGATCAATGCATTCCCAAAGAGTGTTTATTATATAAAAATATTGACATTGGCACAAAATCCAGTGTCATTGAAGTCATAGCAAAAAATTAACAAACAAAATAATGAACAATTTACATTTCTTGTACTCGAGACAAAGAAATACCATCTAGTTAAAGTAATTACGATGTTTAGGACTATACGAAATGAGTATTTAAATACCATACCAAAAAGCATCGCAACGTGAAGCTAAACTATATTAACGTTATTGTTATACGAATATAAAGAATACAAATATTTGTAAAGAAACGGAAGCCTCTTTACATTTGTATTTAAAAACTCATTCTTATCTTAAAATAAATGGTGAATTGTTCTGATTTTATTCTTTTGTTTCTTCGGAAATACTGTCTATATTTTTAATTGTGTATATACGATAAATAATACAGCGAATACATACTTTACTAACAGCATAAAATATTAACAAAACGTTTATTAGTCAGGTGATATACGAGAACTGTCTTAACTTACCAAAAAGCTAAAATATAACATCTTTTATAAATCTGTCAGCATCCTATTTCTGTAAAACCCATTGTCAGTAAAAATATTTCAATACAAACATTTTAGATGTTAAAATATAAAGAAAACTTATCCCACAAATAAATGCAGCATATTGTCGTTCATGTTTTAGTTTTAATAATTGTTTGCAGTCCATACATTCTACGAAAATAATAAATGCCCGTTTATAAAAAATGTCTGAATATTTGTAACTATTTTACGTAAAAACTACGTAACGGATTTTGATAAGATTTTACAGCAAGATAGTCTAGACAGCAGAATAAGATATAAGCTAAAATAATGAATAATGTATCCAGTCTAGTACAATCAGGATCATTACATAATAGTTGTGTTGTCTATGAAGGCCTCTCACAAACTATAGATGTCGCTACGAGTCGGTAACTATAATACTATTTCTATTGTAGTATTTCCCCCATGTCCAATTCCCCAGGTTACGCAAACTTTCCGTCATGAAGTAGAATAAATAAATTTGCATGAATTATAATACCAATTAAGAAAAGTAATTCAGAGACAAAATTTTAGGCTAACTTTAGTATAAATTCAAGTTAATTTTATTATATCTCATAAGTAAACAATTCACTAAGAACCTTAAATTGTCCAACAATATATTGAAATTATCCTTCGTCCAAACACATGAAGTAGCAAATATTTAGTCAACACCTAATGGCATTTCATGTCATCTTTATTTCGGTATAAATATTATTGCATAAAGATACATATCTAAGCGCACGGTAGTGCGCCGGCCAAGTTCCAGCAACAGGCCGCGCGCATGCCGTGCACTATTTACACGAACCGTTTCGACCCACTTTTTACCCCCCTGTAGCTCAGTGCCTGTTACAAGTACAGAGATAAAATTGTACCTACGTAATCATATACTAGTACTAAAGCAGTATGCCAAATTTCATAGATAAAGCTTCAGTAGATCCTGAAATATGACCCTGTGAAAATAGCTAATTTTGACACTGACTCACTGACAGGTAATCAAAACCTTTAGGCCACTTCCCATTGTTTTAGCATTATGAAATTTGGTACACAGGTTGTGTGTTATATGTAGATTAACAAAAAATTAAGAAATTCAAGAAATCGGTCAAGCGTGAGTTGCCTCAATTCTAGAATCGAATTTTTAATAAAAATATTTATGAACCAGTGAATACAATGAGAATACGAAGCGGTGGAAATGGGGGGGGGGTATAAAATATGTAATAAAAAATCTAAGAAATCGGTCAAGCGTGAGTTGGCTTAATCAAATATCGAATTTTTATTACACGCTGTATATTAGCATCACTTGTATGTTTGTTTGTTTGTTTGTTTGTTTGTTTGTATGTAACTCTCCTTTTTTTTTAACACGCTTCTTTTGCACTGCTGTGATATGGGTATCAAATGAAAGAGGTTGAGGAAAAGAATATGAAGATAAAAATAATGCAAGAATATCGGGACGATAAAATATTGGGACGGCAAAATATCCAGACCAGGCGAAAAAATATCCGGACGACAAAAAGTTTTTCTAAAACTATAGAATAATATATACAGGGTGACTGGTGAATTACTATCAATATTTAAGGAGAATACTCGGTACATGATTCTCATTCGAATTATGTAAAAAAAATAGGTAGTTAATTTTTGACCAAATTTCCGTATAAATAAATAAAGCGTGGACACGTTCCAAGTGTTCCAAGTGTGGACGCGTGTGGCGGCGTGCTGATACAACACTACGCCGCAACACGTGTGTGTGTGCGTGTGTGTATACCTAATCTGTAGGGTGTTCACACGATGCGTAATTAATTACATAACTTTTGGTTAACTTTACTTAGAAGTTTATTAATATTTATGTTATATTAATTTTTATTTTGTCATATATGATCGTCAAATATCACGTCCTCAAGTATCGATAGTAATTCACCAGTCACCCTGTATATATATATATAGGCGCTCAGCTCAGCACAATAAAATACATAATAATGAAATATTAATAATTAATAATAGGAGTACATCTATCAATCGGTGATAAATGATACAGTTTGCAGTTTACACGATACAGTTTGCCGTTTACACGATACAGTTTGCAGTTTACACGATTCAGTTTGCCGTTTACAAGATACACGATACAGTTTGCAGTTTACACGATACACGATACAGGTTAATTTAATTATATAAATAATAAATTAATGATACAATTAATTAAGTGTTACGTACAGCACGAAAACCTGCCAAGTTCAAATTTAGAAGTATTATAATTTTAGATATTTTTAACCAAGCACCTACGTATTTTTACAGCTATACCATATTTTAAGTTGGGTGTATGGTAAAGTGAATTTCGGCCAGATGGACCGTTGACGTGAATAAGGTGGCGGGTAGTGGCTGGATGTGGAAGGCAGACTGGGTGTGGTGGCGAGTCTTGGGAATGGCAAATGTTTACCAGTGGATCATGCTGTTGATGAAGATGATTATGATCGATTTCAAAGTGCATCTAAACTTGGCATTAGATTGGATTTCAATCCTTTTTTAGGCAAACAATTAGCCGATTGGAACTTGGCCCCCTTTTTAACAGGCATGTTTTTGGTGAGTATGTTAATTGTTACAGGGATTTACCTATGAACCTGCACATACCTGACGATAGGATCATAGAACCAGGTAGGATAATTCGTAATGTAAAAATTATATATTTTCAGTTATTTAACACTTTCAACTATAAATTTCTATATATTCTATTTCTATATAATTATATGATCGCATCTCCCATAAGATACGTTTACTCAGAACATTATTATCATTAAATAAAACTAAAGCAACAACCCAACCCACTAAACATGTGTATGTCAGTTCAAACACACAATGAAACACATTAACAGATCTATGTATATTTATTTAAGGTCTAAAGTTGGGGAAGCAGTGTTGTAATGGGTCGGGGGGCGTGTCTTCGGTGAGGTAGGAGCTCAGCAGCACCGGCGGGCAGACCGGTGTCCCGCGGGATATGAACCAAGAGGAGTCCCTCTCAGACAACGGGTAGCGCTTGAGGTCCGCGAAACATACCGTCACGTTCACCTCGGAGTATGGAGGTCTGGGGACAGATATTTATTTATTTATCTTATCCGCCAACATTTGTTCACATCATCACATAAGTAAGAAAAATATACAATACACATAACTTAAAACTAGGTGTGACAAACATTTATAGGTAGATACATAAATTAATATTATATGTATCTTCAAATTTGGTTAGGAGAGGAGCTTGGACGAGCTTGGATGACCGTTTAGGCGTTAGATAGAGGCTTGAACCTACACCTGGGTCGCAAGTCCCAGTCACTGTTGAAGCTTCTCTCCCTGTAACGATGGACCCGACACCCGCGCGATGAATATATCTTCTATCTTCTATATATATAAAAGAAAGTCGTGTTAGTGACTTCACTTATAACCCAAGAACGGCTGAACCGATTTAGCTGAAAATTGGCAGGGAGGTAGTTTAGAACCAGGAAATTGCAATAGGATACTTTTTATCCCGTTCGACAGCATTCCCGTGGGACTTGACATGAAACGTCAGTCATTATAAAACGTGGAATAATACAATTCACAGCTATGCAATTGACGTATAATGATAGATATGTAATGACGTATGGATGACAATTAGATATTTGTAAGAAATCTACTATATAAAAATAAAAATATTTAGGTAATGTGTTTGTAGCTTGAACTCTTAAAACCATTTAGTATTTGCGGGATAAATTTAGAAAATCATTGTTTTTCACATGGGCAGTTATATTTTGCGTGTTCACGAGTTTGGAAACCATCCGCTTTATTTGTGTTAAAGTTAGACCAAAAAACAAAAAAATGTGGTTTACAAAGGAGCACTTCAATGAAACGGATAATTAGCGGACACGTATAACGCTCCGATTCGGTATCTACTTTGGATTCACTTTCAAATAAAAATTTTCCTTTTCAAATATAAAACAAAAAATTCTTCATCTTTTAATCACCAAACGAAATGTTATATAAAAGCTCTTGTGGCGAAACGGAGTTCGCCAGGTTTACTAGTATACTTATATAATTTTAATTTTACATTAAATCAATTCGATATAATAGTCAAATAGAAATTTCAGCAAGATTTGAAGCTACATCTTCTTAATACCCCATTCCAGTATCATTACAATTTGAGTTATAGTGAACTAACTACAATCGTTAAATTAATATTATATTCTGGAAGATCTCTTAACTTGTCTTAATGAAATTGATATTCTTATATAATGCTAGAAGACCCGGCGAACTTCGTATCGCCCTATAATCAAGAAACATTTATATTTTTGGAGTTTGTCTATTAAAGCCATAAATCTTATGTCAAAAAAACCGTTTGTATCAACAACTACTAATAAATTAAAAATTAATGAAAAAAACATTGTCCAGATGACAAAATTGTGAATCTAAACCATTCCCAGATCCTCTTGAACACACACAAAAAATTTCATCAAAATCGCTCCAGTCGTTTGAGAGAAGTTCAGTGACATACACACTCACAGAAGAATTATATATATGTATAAAGATTTTAGTATGTATACTAACTCATCGTCAAGAGCGATTCCGTCGCCAGCTTCTAACAGCCTTGCTAGTAATCTCTTCCTAGCGGCGGGTACGTGTAGTACAGCCCTCATTCCGTCGAAGGGTCCTCGCCCCCCGGCCTTCCTAGCCGCCCGCCACCGGTGCGCGGCCTGCGCTAAACTCTTCTCAGCTCCCGTCAAACTAGGCAGACATGACGCTTTAGGATTACCCCACTCGTATTCTTCTTCCTGTAATAATATATATATTTTTTTATTTATTTATTAAGGCAAACACAACAGGTCACAATCACATAGAGAATATTTCTTAAACATTAATACTATCGAACAGATTATAACCCTAAGGGTGCATGCACAACATGACGGGATTGCCAATTATTACAGTTAACAAATTCCAATACAGGAGATAACTATGTATTAGTACTAAACAATAACAACAGTAGGTATATCAAGACCATAATAAAATTAAATTACATGGACTAAACAAAAAAAGACAAAAATGAAATATTAAAAGTGATATTCAATGAAGTTACACGAATTAAATTATATATATATTAAGAAAATAATTAAATGGTATAATAAACAATTTTCGTTTAAATTTACAAAAAAGACAAAAGAAATATAATCGTTAATAATTACAATTTTATATATAACATTTATAAACCAAAATAGCATATAAATCGTGTTTGGGATCAGCCTTTAATATATGTGCATCAGTTTAAAATGATTTTTTATAATGAAGAGCATCTTTCAACGTTAATCCACGTTTAAATGATCGGTCTATATAAGATTATGATTAATTCTTCAAGCAATGTGATTCGTCTAAAACAAAAAGAGAATCCACAATTAAATGTTCATGCTTTCCTTGGGTGAAATTTGTAATGTTATCTGTCATTGTTAGATATCAGTGTCGATGTCAATCGATGATACACATAATATATTTTGACTTCATATTTTCTCATAGCCACTTCCTGCTTACAGAGTATATATTGACCTAATATACTCGTTGAAATCCTGTCTTCGTCCACACTCACCTCGAGAAACCTCCCAGCGGCTCGACTCCTTGATATATAAGCGGGATGTAGGATCCACTTGCCAGCCGCCACCGAGCCCAGCATCTTCTCACTCCGCCCCGGCGCCGCGCACAGTAAGTGTGTAGCGAACAAATCTAGCTCAGGACTGTCTGAAACTTCTCCACCAAGACACTGGATCATAGCGGCGATCTCTTCACGATTCTGAAATTAAATTAATAGGTATACAACGAATGTTGATTACATTAACGTAACATAAATATCAGCACATATATTATGTTCTATTTTGCTTGAAGACGTCTGACACAGATAATTAATTAGTAGATGTCGCTACTGGTTAGTTACCATATACATTATTTGAACAGACTGTATACAGAGAGAGCAATTCTAAAGTTCAGACTAAAGAAGACACGTTTCGAAAACTATTATATTTTTCTTACAAAAACCTCATTCTAATTCAAAGCATAGCTTCATTATTTTATCTTTTTTGGATTCACAATGAAAAGGAAATAAAAATTCACTGTTATCGGGCCTCCTTGGACAAAAGCAACAAAACATATTATAGTTGTAACTTAATTATAAAATTATTTACGTCAACATTCGACGACAACATAAACTTCTTGACTGTCTGTTTGTTCGTATGTTCTGTCTTTCTGGAGGTGTCGTCCCAGCCAACTGTGTTCGGTTGTGACTCAGGGGCCGGCTCGCTGTCTTGAGGCGGGGCTGGGAATTATAACATGGCAATATTTACTAATATAATAATATATTTTACTATATTATGACGAAGGGTAATAGAAAAATATTTAAAATGATTTTTTTCATCCATTATCGCATGTCGCATTACAAGCGGTAGCAAAGTAGGAGTGAAATGGAAGAGGCTCTTGACTAAACTATTAACCTGTTCTGTACTTAAATACATTACTATCAAAATGTATAGTTGGACAGTCTGCTATTAACTCATACTGTCATAGCCAGTGGCGGCCGGTGGGTAATCGAACCGATGGTGCACATTACTCAAATATTAAAATTAGAAAATGCAACAAAACATAACGAAATGTCTATCACGGCTCAATTCGCCATACATCGGGTGCTCTCGCTAATCTTCGGCCGCTCGTGCGGCGCTCGAGAACCGACTCGTTACTCGGTACATTTCTATGAACTATCTTTTGTTTCACGCGTCAGGCGTATTAATATGCGTATCTCATACAAGATGTATTAGCAGTCCTCGTGCCCTCGCCGAAGCGCACGATATGAGTTTAGTAAAGCGCTGAATTTTTTTAACCATAATTAGGAAATTTAATTTTTTATACGTTTTTATATGTTTAAAAAGTAATATTAAAATGGTAATTTAAAAATAAAGATGAAGTAAAATTTTGTAATTATTAAATATTTTGAATTGGTGGTTCAGCGCACGAGTGCACTTAAGGTACAGCCGCCACTGGTCATAGCCAATTTCCGAATACTCAGTGAAGACAATTTTTTATTTCATATTATAATACATACGCGGATCGCTATTATGTGAAGGAACTGAATCTCTAGTTCGTTTCCGTTGTGAACTCAGTCGGCTAGCGAGTACAGCGCTCAAGCGCTGCAGCTGTGCGTCGACCACCGGCGGTAATGTTGTGCTCTTCGGCGTCTCAACTGTTGTAGCGCTGACAGCGCTTTTAGAGCTGTCGTTTTCTTCGGATATGTTCATCCCACCCGCGCTCTGGAATGATAGATAAATTATATAGGTTATTATGAATGAGATCCTATGAGTATTCATTTAAATGTAACTAATGTTTGTCGAATTAATATGCATATTTTCTTATTTTTAAAAAACCAAATATACTCCCGACGTTTCGGTTACTTTGCAACCGTGATCAAGGTTATCTCGTCTGTCTAATGATATGTAGTTTTTTAGAAATAATAACATCGTGTAGTAATCCGAACAATATAAGTGGCATTTAAAAGGTTATTATGTGAATTTATAATACCATTTTATGCAAAAATCTCACCTGATTTTCAAAAGTTTTCGCCATTTTCGACGGCGGTGTTTCTACTTGTTCCTGTTAAAATAATAAAATTAGAGTATATTGTCATTAATAATTATTATTTATACTCGCAAACCAAATTACTATTTGAATGAAATAAAATTATTTATATGATTAATTATTAGATAAGCTGATAAATAAAGTAATACCAACGTTCAAGTGTAATTTCCTGGGCACAGTGTTATTAGTCACGCCGCCATCTGTTGGTGAGTCGTTGAACTGAGACAGAAAACGATTCCTGATTTCTGATAGTGGCTGAAATATATAACATAATATAAATATAAAATATATGTAATGATATTCAATAACTATAAATGACAATAACTTAGAACATACTATGCAATCAAAATCTTCAAAATTCATTATTTTTTTTATGAAAAAGGTTTTCGGGCAGAAATCTACACACAATTTAAAATCTAAAAATAAATAGCATCGAATCGTCTGTCCGCGATCGTGATGAAGTAAACCGCGTCTAGGAACATTTTCCACCAAGTTGGTGTCAAACATACAAATATTAATAAAATATTTGTTAATTATTGGAGATCAGACCGTCCTGCCAAGTCACTAACCGTATGCGACCTCGCGGCGGCCGGTGTCCCGCTAGGCAGGCGGTCCACTAGTGACCACAGCGTCTTCCTCGCTCCCGGAGACAGCCGTCCGCCAGCCACGCCCGCGCAGAACGAACTGTCCGGAGTACACGGAACACGGGGGACTGACCGGACATGGACATAGAGATTAATGTTTTTTTTAAGAGACGATACTTCTCAGCATTCCATGGATTCACCGTGCGGGTGCCGGGTCTATCGCGTTGCAGGGAGAGGAGCTTCAACAGTGCCTGGGACTTGCGACCCAAGTGTAGGTTTAAGGGGGACCTTAACTAACGCGCGTTATACGCTCACCTCCACTGTCCAAGCTCCTCTCCCTACCTAACATAGAGCTGTGACTGAAACTATTATTCCACCTGATAGATAGCTAGAATGTAATTGTGTATTGATTTAATAGAAAATATACTAAAACATACTAACAATAAATAATGATAGCTGAATATAATATTGAATTTCGTAGTTAAGTGTTTATGTATTATGATTGTATGTTTTTATAAATACATTTTTATTTATTGACATTTAAAAACGACTTATAATGAATAGCTAGCTAACAAGATAATCCAGGGGTTTATGAATTAGAAATACCGGTTGGTGTCGATGAAATTTTACTTCTATGTTTCTCATATGAAATTTGATCCAATTATTTTTACAACACTATCTATGATAATAAAAAGTAATAAATATAAGTTCAATCAATATAAAAGTTGTTAACGTCGGTTTAGATGAACGATCTAGTATAGAAAGTCATTTACCCTAACTCTCTTCCTCGATCAAGTTTGGCAGCACATCCGCAAAATTATTTTGCGGATGTCCATGAGCGACGGTACTATATCCAACAAGTAGGCCGTATGCTCGTTTACCTCTTTAGTCATAAAAAAAAATAAAAATAAACCTACATGGGATCTAAGATTTTTGCGAGTCTTATTCATTTAAACCTACATGGGTCAGTGGGTGTTCTTATAGGGTCGGAGGGCATCTCCCCCCTCCTGACCGCCTGCAGTCTGCGACGAGTGGTGGGACTTAGACCCATCAGGTTGGGAGTTGACAAGGCGTCGTCTAACTGAGGAGTGCGGACTTGGACCTCGGCTGGTGAGAATAAATAATATACATTACTATGTTAAACTTTCATATAGAAACTGTATTTTACGTAATGATATCTAAGACTCGTGAGTAGGTATTCATTGAAATAAAACTAATATTTTTCGAATCAATCCGCGTTTCACGTCACATTGATTGATTGATTGTCATCTTATCTGCCCGTGATCACGTTTAATGCAAAGTAATCGAAACGTCGAGAGTATACATATAGTTAAAAATTATAAACGCGTAGTAAATTCGAAAAATATTAGTTTCTTAAATGTATTTTATTCATTAAATTGTCGGACATGCTATAATGCTGCCAATACTTAATGACACATTATTTAATTCTGTTTTAAACCATATTGCACGTCCAACCTATTAATCTGCGGGTAGACTAGTGTTATATACTCATACTAGAAGACCCGGCGATCTTCGTATCGCTCTATAATCAAAAAATATCTGTTACGCTTTTTTTTTATTTATATTTTTATTTATATTTTTGGAGTTTACCTATTAAAGCCATAAATCTCTTTGTTTTGAAGTGCGACAGAATGATTGACATATTAGTTAGTTGTCAAATCTAATGTAAAAAAAAAAAGTTTGTATCAATAACTACTAATAAATTAAAATATTAAGTAAAAAAACATTGTCCAGCGGAAAAAATTGTGAATTTAAACAATTCCCAGATCCCCTTGAACACACACAAAAAATTTAATAAAAATCGGTCCAGTCGTTTGAGAGAAGTTCAGTGACATACACACTCACAGAAGAATTATATATATAAAGATATAATAATTGTATGCCTTGTTTATCTCCGTGTCGTTGGTGTAACGTCTTCGGCGTGTCCTGTGAGTCTCCCCCTAGTAGTCCCTGGCGCGCCATCGCTATGTACCGGGATGCTGGGGACATGTCCTCTGTGTCTGTAGCTGGAAAAAATAACATACGAACAATCAGCTTATACTATCCTAGTAATATTATAATTGCGAAAGTTTGTGAGTGTGTGTGTGTGTTTGTTACTTCTTCACACTCAAACGGCTGAACCGATTTTGATAAAATTTTGTATACAGGAAGCTGACGTCCAGGAATAACACATAGGCTACTTTACATCCCGGAAATCTCGTAAATCCACGGATAAGATCGCGGGGCGCAGCTAGTAGAAAATAATTGTGTTATATGTATATTACTTATACTTATTAAATATGTACTGGAAAAAACAAGTATAATGTAGGTAGATCACTTTATTATATCAGTTTGTATCATAGTCTTACTACTTAGGAGGAAACATATTAGAATTTAGTATAATTTTATTTAATACTACAAAAGGTAAATGTGACTATAGAAATTTCTGCCCAATGACATACAGATATACATAATGGAGGAGAAATTTTGTTAGAATTAGAGAAAGTGGGATTATTCTATAACTTATAAGTATATATGAAATACATATATGAAAGTAATTGCTACCAAGACACAGCTGAATATGTTAAGTTTTGATTATAAAAAATAACGTATTCATTTAAATGAAAATAAGAAGATAATTCCTAATAATTCGAAAATATTATATTTTTTCGAATTGTCTTCTTATTTTAAACTACCGTGAACACGGCCAGGCGAGATGTAAATATCTCATTCAGGGAATATGTCGTAATACAAAAATATTAGTTTCATTTAAAAATAAAGGCATTTTCATTGTATGTATGTTTCATAGATTAATGTCCATACCTTTTATAATCTGTTCGGGTATGGACCCTCGTCTGGGAGCCGCGTCAGGAGGTAACATAGCGTTTTCTTTGTCCGTGTGTTTGTTCTCTACACTCGTGTCATCACGCGGCTTTTCTTGCTCTTCTCGTTGATGTTCCGGAGACGGCGGTGCTGTGAAATTTTGATTGAAAAATTCTAAAAGAATCATATATAATAAAATTTCTAATTAAGAAGATTGTATGTTCTTAGATTGTAGGTTCGAGTCCCATTCTCATTCTCATCTCATATAGTCATTACTATCATTATCATCAGCCTATCAGAGCCCACTGCTGAGCAAAGGCCTCTTCTCACATGGAGAAGGTTATATAGTCTCTTCTTCTTCTACCTGGCAATTTCCCAGCTTTAGCCAGGGTCGGCCTAACATGTTGTGAATAATTTTGGCTAATTGTTTTTACGACCGGCCGCCTGCCTGACATCAACCCTCTTTGGGAATGCATTAATCAGTGGTGTCTAAATACTTTTTTTACAAAGTACATATGATTCGGAAAAATCACAATGGTAGGTAATTGCGCGGGCCAGGATCGAACCCGCGCCCTCGTGTATGAGAGGCAGGCTTTTTAACCACTAGCCCAACACTGACTTTTATAAGTTTATATAGTCTAATCTAATATATTCAGTTAGTGTCACTCACCTTTAGTTTCCCCTACTAAGTATTTAGTTTCTCTCGTTCGAGTTCCAGTAGTAGCGCAGTCTAGGAGCCAGTCAGCGGTGACGGCGGGCAGGCCCCACTTCACAGCGCCTTGATACTTATCGCCCGACGCAGTGGGACATATGAGGTGAGTAGATGCCAGGGCGTTGGCTGTGTTACGGCGACAGAAGCGAAGCTGAGTACTAAAGATATTGAGAAAAAATCGTATTAGTTATAACTCGAAAATGACTGTACGGGTTTAGATGGAAATTGGTGGAGATAGCTTAGGATCAGGAAAAACACATTCGATACTTTTGATCAATAACTTGATCAAATCCATAATCGATCTTCTTATATACTTTCTTTAAGGAGGAATAGAGTTCGCCCGGTCAGCTATGCATTACTAATTTTGAAAATAACATAGACAAAAGTCGCGGACAAAAACTAGTATTATAAGTTAATAGATAGGATGAAAATAAAATATATATGTTTATGTTTACTAACGTGGCGCCCAATAGTTTGGCTAGTTCGTCTAGGAAGGCCCTCTCGAACCCACTATACGTGCTCAGACTTGCCACCACTCCTTCCAACGGAGCCACGGTCCATTGAGGCAGTTTGACGGGGCGATGATAGTACTGTATCTCTAATAGTTCTTGTTGCGACAAACAATCTTTCTGGAAAATAAATTTTAAATGCTATAAAAAAATGCTCAATATATAAAAGACGCTCAACATGTGTTGTAAATATAAATATATTATCAACCTTCTCATTCAATTGGGTGCTTGAAAAATTTTTTACTTTGAATAATGGAAAGATATGTAAGTTTTATGTGAAAACAATTTTTATTTTTCGCAATAATTAAAACGTTATATCAAAATAAAATTTTATTTTTTGAATCTTGTACCGGAGACGCGCCACAAACTTTCGAACAAATCCGAGCGCATGTGATGACATAATGTTAGTTTTTACTCACAGTATTATACAGAGATTAGTACATTGCTTTGAGCCTTTGAGCTGTGATTTTTTCATTCTTTCATTGTTAAATAAACAAAAATATATTTAAAAAAATATATTCATTTTTCTAAATCTCAATCCCATAAAGCCCTTAAAAAACATAAATCCACGATTGTAAATTATCAAACAGACTGGTATAAAGACAAGTGACGTCATGTACTCACAATCCAGAATACGGTAACAAGCTCCCCATCTCCATCAGTATCCCCATCCCACTCTAGCGGCACCAGCACATAGGACCCCGCCCCAGACCCGCCCATCGCCCCGCCCATCGCCACGCCCCCCGCCACCAGCACCCCGCCCGCCGCGGACACCTCCGCAGCTATCTCAGTAATCGCCTCCTCATCCAGACCTCGAACTTGTATTGTTATACCTGGAATTTATTGCTGCTGAAGTACGTATATTGATATTTTCATCACATTTGAGTGAACTATAACAATTTAAAAATAAAGATACATGTATTTGAATTTAGTTCATATTTCTTTTACCCACTCAGATATATTAGAACACATCTGACTAAAGGGTATTTCCAATATAGTTTCTTGTATGTCTTTTCTCTTTAGTACTGTAACTTTAATTACCATTAAATACTGTAAATTAACTTACCCTTAAATAACGTAAATGAACTTACCCTTAAATATCTGCTCTATATCTTCAGAGGGCTCATCGAGGTCATCTGTGACATCTGGTTGTTCCGGCTCAGCTGGCATCACACGTTCTGGAGTCTTCTCTTGCTCTTGTCTTTCTGCAAAAAGGTTAATGGAAGATAATGTTATGTAATTTTCATTTAAATCATCTACTTTTAATATACAACTAATTGTCGTATTGACTATAATATATACTAACGACTCAAATAATGATGAACAATTTCATCAGGCGGTTCCTCCACTTCGGGTGTGGGAGGCGGCAGATCCAGGGGTCCGTGTCTCAGTAGCTGCATGTTTCGTTTGCTCATCGGAGACGCGGCTTCGACCTTCGTGCGAGCTTTGACTGGTGTCGCGGGTTTTGTATTTATTAAGAACTGAAAAGGCATAAAAAAAACATCTGTATTAACTAAAATCACCTGCGTCTATACCCTACGATCTATTTCACTTGCAGGTATAGGCTACATCAACTAAAGCTATGAGCTACTGTGTCTATACTCTAAATATAAATGTCACTGACCTCAGCCTCTCCCAGCGGCCGTCCAGCCAGCACGCTCTTCACCAGCCACAGCGGCTGCAACACAGGTACACTGGGCAACGCAGCACTGGCGCTCACAGCAGCGGCCGCGGTACCGGCCAGTGCGTGCGTGACGCGCTCGTGTGGACAGTCGTACCGCACGCCGCCGCAGCGTGAGATACAGGCGGCGGCGCGGTCGCGGGCCGGGCCCTCCACACCCGTCAACCAAATCTAGAACACACACACACACAAATATAGTTTAGTACTCGCATTTTACTGAGAGTTATTGTTAAACAAATACGTCGCCAAATTTAATTATGGACTGACTCAGAACAACTAAACTATGATGAATCTCTATATAAAGCTATATAAATGAAATTTATATCCTTACTAATAAAGAGAAACTAAAAGCTTGGTAAGTATAGACTTAGAGGATTAGAGTTTAAGAATGATAAAATAACTCACACAGAATCCATCAAATATAGGTCCGGCTTTTTTAATAGTAGTCATATCAAGCTTCTCAAAATGTGATAACATTTCCTTTTCTGTTGAAGTCTCATTTGATTTTTTTGTTTCCTGTGAGAACTGTAAAAAAAAATGTAAAGAACATTTTTTCACCAACAAATTGATCAAAATCATTATGAAGTATTGTCATAGTACTAAATACTAACCTTCATTCTACTAGACATAGTCGAAATATCGACGGCTCTGCTCTCATCAACAAAATTACTGGGCGGTCTCAAATTTGTTATTCTTGAGAAATTCAAACCTATAAACAGACATATACAAGTGGTTATGCATTAACACAAATATATGTAAATCATATTTTAGTACACTCACTCATATCTGGTGCTCTATGTTCCGATAGAGGTGATGATGTAGAAGCTCCAGCAACTCTATATTTTGATAAAGGCAGTGCTACACCGCGGGCAGCGGAATCAATGACCCAGGATGGTAGAACACATGCCTTACCATACTCTAAGGCTGCTTTATATTTCTCACTCCCTATACTGTCCCTAGAAGAAGAAAAAAATAGTATATTACATTTATATGCATATAAATTGCATTATAAATAAATACAAGCTCTCTTTTATAATGTTTATTCAATAAATTTTATCATATTTAATTTTATATAACTGCCATGAATGTAATCAAAAATATAATGTGATACAAAAAGTACTTCTACATAGTGACCTATGTCAAAATAACCAAAACTTAATATGCCGTCATGTTTTCTATCAAATTATGAATAATTTATGTTACTATACAAACTCACTTGTTGAGAACAACAATATCTGTTGTCTCGCTCTGGAATGCTCCGGAGAATGTACCACCATTTTCACTCACAAGCTTCATTACCAATGCCTTGTCCTTTTTAGTTATGCCAGTTGTGGTGACCTAAAATCAAATATAAAAAAAAGAAACTTGTTTCAAAACACTGTGTAAAAAGAGGTTTTATTCATGATAAACATCCACAAAATAAAAAAAATTATCATGGCACTAAGTTTTTGTGTTTTTTATTTAACAGTAAAAGTACCTGTAAGTTTGCAAACGGTGGTAATTTATGATTGTCAAAGTCTGATGAGGCAGCGTTTATATTTAGCCGAAGCGATGACTCCCAGACTGCTTCAATCCAAGTATCTTGCATCACGGGTAAATTCCTTTCTACTGCTTTCTATAACAATTTATATATTGAATACATGATATTGACATTTCCTTGATAATTCTATAAGGACAATTACTTAAGGACAATTAATTATTAAAACTTTCTCCTCTTGCCAATATAACAATAAATGCTACTAAAAAGATACAAAATTAAGTTTTCTTTCATATAACAATCATTTTATTTTGCAAGGCTTACTTATAATGGTATGCATTTATGTGTTAGTCCGACTTTCACTTTGACAATAACTTATAAATATATTACAATATGTATTATAAATATATTACAATGTATATATCAAGGTACACATACAACATATTTATCAGAGAGCACAGTGTCAGCTACAAGGTGTGTTGTGTCTTCTGTCAGTACTGTGCTATATAATCCTCCCATCCAATGAACTTTCTTCTTGATGTTTTCCTGTGTACATAACAAATGGTTCTTCAAATTTTATGTATATAAAAAATTATTACCAGTAATATTTGCTTGATAGTTAATTTTACAACCAAAAGAATTACTTTGAATATGTTCATAGTTACATGTAAGATAATGTGATTATAAGAAGACTTGAAAACCATTTCAAATTTATATAAATAAATGCTCTTACAAAGGTCAGAGAGTATGTTAAAATATAACACTCATGGACAATTTGAACAAATTATAAAATATATTGTCTTCAATGCCATAAATTGTTTTAATCATTAATCTTCCTACCTTTTGTTGTTTTGAAAGACCGCTGGCTGTGACCACAAGACCTCTCATGGCTATAGTGAATACTGGCTCAGGGCCTGATGGTATTGATATGCCCTCTGTGAGACAACACGAAATACATCGAGGCCCTACTAATCTAGAAATTTCGATTTATAAGATATTTTTCTGCTCTTATAATGTTAAAAAATATTTCACAAAGCAAAACGAATACCTACAAACATTTGGTCAACCTGAGTCTCTCAAAAAACTCTCCTTGAAACTCAGACACAACAAAAACATCTTTCTTTGTTAGTCCCACAAATTTCTTCCAAGTAGTTTGGGCTTGCCACTGCGCCTTGATACCTCCCCCACTGTGTTGCTCGCAAGCCTAAAATTTAAAATGATTAAATGGAACATTACGAAATACGAAGCATTTGATTGAGAGGACTGTATTTGACGGAACACTATACTATTGACTGGTTAAAATATTATGAAAAATTTAAAAGCACTAAGTAATATATTTGTTAATTATATTCAAACACTTACAGTAAAAGCCAGCTGCATTTCCTCAGAACACTCATTTTCGTTTCTACACTCCGGAGGAATAATAAACGTTACATTTATATCTTCATTCATATTATTTATTAGTCAATAGTCTATAAAAAAATCGAATATTATTTACAATTAGAGTATTATAAAACCTTATTTAACATATTTATACAATTCAGCGAGCCACAAATATATATTTTAGTTTATCAGCATTGCGCGCGATTGTTTACAACTGTCATTTGTCATTTTGAAAATTTTATTTTTTAACACACGTTATTGTTTCAATACAATAGAAGTATTGTAATAATTCGTCTTTTAATAAAAATAAATTTTTGAACAGAAGTGTAAAAATAATCAAAAGGTTTTTTATTCTATTTATTTAAAAAAATATATTTTATATATACGTAAATTTCTTTTTATAATGCAATCAGTCAAGACTGAGTTGAGTCTTGACTGATTTATCAATATTATCCTGATAATTGTATAGAAATCTTCTAATCACTAACATACTATATAACTTTTAAGATTATATTTTCTCAATTTTCATTTCAATTTGCAATCAAAATCTTTCAAACACAGATGTCAGTTGTCAGTATCGACTGCTCACTAAATACTAATATCTTATTAACATGGATTGACGATACTTGTATAGGTTATAGGTATTTTGAATTTTATAATAATGTGTGAAGATCGATAAGTGTAACAACATCATAGGACTGGAGTGAAAATTCAATCGTTAAAATGTTGTACGACGATTTTAAGCCCATTGTTGATCTTGTTTTCAACAATTGGACTGCTTTACAGTTGGCCGTAGAGCATGGAATGGGCGCTCCGGGCGGTGAAAAAGTAAGAAGTTATATTAATTATTAATGAAAAATCTAGTAAAAATCAACAAGAGCTCTTATTAACACATTATTTCAGACAGCTCAACTGATGTGCGTTTATGTAGCAAGATTTTGTGTAGAAAATGTAGTCGACCAGGACGATTTAACAGAATTACTAGAAGACTTAATGGATGAAGAATTTGAGACAGTGTGCCACGATAATTCACCTAAAGGTAAAAAATATGTTTTTAGCAACATTTTTAACAAATAACAATATTATAAAATAGAGATCTGACTAGTAATTACTTCCAATGAGAATTGTGTTATTTTTAGAGGTAGCATCATTACTATTTTTCTATCTTGGCCTTTTAAAAGAAGGACGTCATGAAGAACTCAGAAATCATATAGAAGCAATGCCCAAATGTCAGAAATGGTTGAGTGAACCAATACATGAGTCTGTACCGCCTCAAGTAAGTTATTTGAATGTAAAATGATTTAAAATATTCAGCTTTATCAAGAAGTACATCATTAAAGAGGTTGTTAATAAAAAAAAAACAGTATTACACAGTAAATAAATATTAGGTTATATATTTTTGTAGTGTCATGGCAACCCTGATGACGATACAACAAGCAGCGGCGAGGACAACAGTGATGAAGAAACTGAAGCTTCAACAAATGCAACAGCATCAAATAATGAACCTGAACCGATGGATGAGGACGTTGAACCTGGTTGGACAATGGTCAGGAGTCGGCGAAGGAAATAAACTATTAATTAATATAGAATATGTATAACATTGTAACATAATACAGGAAATTTGTAATACAACTTCATTATATCTGTAAAATAGTATTATAAAGAGTAAATGACTATTATGGTTAAAAGTATTGTTGCTGGCACATATCTTAGCAAGGTTTCGATGTAGGTTGAATAAGTTTGTATGTAAGTTTGCAATAAAAATTGGTCACTTTTGATGCTTATCAATAATACAAGCTTGTTACAGTAACTAAAACCATCTGTTCAGTTAAGTGGTCGTAAGTGTACTTCAGAACAAATATGTACTCAGAAACATGGGATTTCACAGTCTCGTCCCTTGCGCCCTACATTATACCTAAAAATCATATTCTACACATCTATTGTCGCTTGCCAAGTTATGTGCCGGCTCCAATAATATGTTTTAAATGTTACATCATTGTAGGGTTTTCTGAATAACTAAATGTTACAAATATCTAGCAATATGCATTTCGGATTGGAATTTAATGATTCATAGTTTTCTGCTAAATTTTAAAATACTTTTAATAGTGAATTTTCTAATAATATATAGGTAGATTTAAACAAATATTTCTATTAGGAAGTTTTAAATAAGGAACTTGTTTGTGAATAACATTTTAAATTAATATCAACTGAATGGTTCATGTGTACTCTAAAAATATTACTTTTGAAAACTATGCAAACGTGAATATTCTTACCATAGACAATTATTATAAATTATTCTATTGCCACTGGTATTGTGGGTTTTAAAAGAAATCAAGGTATCTATATATAACAAGAATAAAATATATTCATTAGTTTTGTAATTCACCAGTTTTGCATTGTTGGATAGAAGTTAAAAAAAAAGTAGCAAAAATAAGTTATAGAATACATATATACAGTTTACTGTGAAGTATTTAAATCTAAGTATAAGGTTAAACAATTACATTCTTTGAATCTATTTTGTACTATTTAAATAAAGTGTTGTTAGTTTATGAAATACCTTTAAAATAAATGCAAGGTGTTTTTTCATTAAAACCCTACTTGGCCTAAACCTTACATTGTTACCAGGAGATAGATAATACTCCCGTTGTCTTTTGCGAACAGATTTTCGAAACTGCAAAGCTCCGGATGTTAGTTCGTAAAAAGAAGCCCTAAACAAATCCCTGAAAATTTTGCAACCAAGAAGTAATGTATCGTATTACTGCTTATGATGCGTATTGCGTAACTTATTAACCTTCCGACTGTAAGTCCCTTCCTTCCTCATTGGCTAAAACTTATTGTACAAAACAAATGATAAAAAAACTTTTAAGTAAATCGGTTTTACGTGAAACATACATTGCAATGTTTAAGATAAATGTACCTACTAAAAATCAAAAAATAATAAAATAGATACAGTCGTGGGAATTATAAACATATGCACAGACTAGACTAAAATAAAAGCGTGGGGCACGTCAATTGCCTACAAATTATCGACTTAATTTGCGATAGAAGAATCGTTTAATTCGTCGTTAGGCAGTTGGCCCGCAGACTGTGAGGAAAATTATTCAGATTTGGACATATTACATAATGCAGAATATAGACAATAACGATGACCGAGTCTTGACAGTGTGTCAAACAATTATAAACAGTGTTGGGTGTAATGAACTTATGTTACAAGAACGTAAATAAAACGCTACCCAAAAGACAATACATGTATTTTGTCATAAAAAATAGGAGTACCTATGTATTGTATAGTGTTCTTAGAATTAAAGTGATTGAATAAAATGATTTTTATTTTTGTGTATTAAATTTTGACTGTGTTTAATCATAAACCTCGATATACGCGAATTTCAGTTAACGCGATTTTCTTCGGATCGTATCCCTCGCGTAAAGCGGGGTATTACTGTATTTTCTTGCTCACGGAAATTACAACTGCCTAATTATAGTGTAACATTACAAAACAAACATTTTAGTCAACGATTGTAGACAATTAACGTGATTTTTTGTGATCACAAATTGTTTTGAATGTATCTTGCTGCGGTTGAACAATATCACCGGGCCAGAACTCAAAAGAGTATCAAGCTCAAAAAGAATTTTAGATTGTACCTGTAACTTCAGAGCTTAATGGTATCAACTTAACAAACAAATTTCAGATTTATAATATTGATATATACAAATAATTGAACGTATCATAAATTTTGCGAAGAGACTTTTTAAACTAAAAATAAAATGTGATATAATTTTGCGATATTGCTTTTGTTCAATTACATATGAAGTTATTATTAAACTGAAAAGTAAACAAGTAAAAATTGAGAATATAACTATTATTTTTTTAAAAGCAACATTTTAATTAGCTTTTATATTTGATATGACAGCTGACAACCGCGAACCGATATCGTATTAATGTTATGTACCTAGGTACCGAAAATAGGATTTGTTAATATTAATAATTATTAAATACGAATTTACGTTCGATGAGGTAGTACGTAATATTTAAATCAATAAAATAGGACCAATGCCACTTACTGCCCGACAACGAAGTATTCACAATAAGAATGGAGCTAAACGTACTGCTAGTTTTACTAAAGGCAGAAAATCGCGGAAATCTAACGAAGGGTAAGATTTACAAATAAGCGGTATTTTTAATAATAAATAATCAACTATAGATAAATGTAATGCAAATGTTATGATAATAACAACATATATTTTTAAATAACCTCTCAAAAAAATTTTTGTCTTATAGAGAATATCTGTTTACAAATGCACCATCGGACCTTCGAAGTATAGCATATCCTGGAGGAGCAGTGGCCCTAGCACTGCTCCTGTCTGCTCGCCTTGCATCTGCTTACTGGGGACAAATAGCAGACTGTGATGAAACTTACAATTATTGGGAGCCATTGCATTATTTGGGTAAGTAGTAGAATAGGTGTATGACAAAAAAATTACCCTTTCCGGATTACTACGCATTTTTTTTTCATTTTCATCTCATCTGCTTGTGAGCATGGTTGATGCAAAGCAACCAAAATATCAGAAGAATGTAGTTTCAAATATTAAAAAACGCGTTGTAATATGAAAATATTTGTTTTATTTTAATGGATACTCGCGATAGTCTTAGATCTCATTACATGTGCGTGACAGTATAGTATAACTTGCAATTTAAAAATGTTAAAGAAATGAGACAATATACAAATTGAATTTTTACTAACAATATCATAATTTAAAAGCCAAATGGTGGAATGTTTTGGGTTACTTTAAATGTTTATTACAAAATTATAATTTAAATTGGCAATATGTTTATAATGTAAAAACATTCATATAGGTTGCTACTTAAATGTTACTCCTAAAAGTAGGTATCAATAATTATTATTATGACAATGCACACCAATGATTTGTTATGATTTTATCGCATGTAAAATTTCCTATACATATAAAATTGTGTGATATTTTTCACAGTGTATGGCAGTGGTCTTCAAACATGGGAGTACAGCCCACAATATGCCATTCGTTCATATATGTCCCTCTGGTTGTTTGCTGTTCCTGCTAAAATACTATCGTACATAATGACTCCTGTGTCTATATTTTACACTCTGAAAGCACTACTGGCAGTGTTGACGGCTTGTTCTGAACTGATGTTTTATAAGTAAGAATATGTAACTATAACTATTTTCCATTTCATGTGCTAACAAAGTACTATAATAGTTCAAATTTTTATACTTTAAAGGTATATAGATATGCTTTACTATTGAAGTAAACATATTTTGGGTTTTGTACCAAAACTATCTATAAGTTTAATATGGGAAATATATACCTATAACGATAAATCAAATAAAATGTGATGATTAGAAATATGCAATGCTAAATATTATCCATTACAATTATATTCTACTAAGCTCTTGGAATGACTAAAGCTTGCATTATATGTTGACAAAGTATATAATTGTATCTTCAAATATCTGAATACAGATATAATGCTTGATATTGAAAATTTTAATACATTTTTTTATTAATAACTAGATAGTTGTATAAAAATCAGAATTAAGGCAAATGCATTCTAGAATTTTCTATCCCAACAGAGCTGTGTGCCACGAGTTTGGAGTCCATGTTGGCCGAGTATGGTTGTTCCTGAACCTTCCAGCGGCTGGCTGCTTTGCTTCATCAGCTGCAATGTTACCGTCGTCTTGGAGCTCAGCGCTGGTGACGGCGGCCCTCGCTTGTTGGTGGCGACGAAGATATCCGCCTGCTATCGTCCTTATTGCTGCCACTGTACTACTAAGTGAGTAAATAGTCTTTTTTTTTAATGACAAAGAAGGCAAACAAGCATACGGCCTACCTGAGGTCCGGAGAGGTAATCGTGGGAAAAGGGAAAACGCAGGAAAAATTGTGAGAAGGGAAGGGCATCTTGCTCTCTCACTCATCTGACGAGCCAAATAAAACTACTTCACAACCATCTTCTGTGAGATATTCATATCTTTATGAGTTAGAACAATGTCTCAGTTTAAGTCATACTTAAGTTTCAGTATCGAATAAAATACCTACCAATTTCCAAATATTTCTGCATGTAATGTTATATCGTTAAATATTTTTGATCTAAAATTCTACTATAATTTTAATTTTATCCATAATATGTAGATTTTCTGCTTTGACTATACTCCTATATTAAAAGCATATAATGTTATAACATTATAATAATATTATGTATACCTATATAATAACATCTTTTTTGTATGTGCTACATATTTTTTTCAATAATTCCATTTTTTATTTCAGGTTGGCCATTCACAGCACTTTTAGGTGTACCAATAGCGGTGGATATGTTGTTATTTAAAGGACTTTATAAAGAATTTATTAAATGGTCAATTATATCACTGGTCATAATTCTTCTCCCTACCGTTGCTGTGGACTCGTGGCACTATGGACGTTTTGTGATCGCTCCATGGAATATTGTAGCATATAATATATTTACCGAACACGGTCCTGATTTGTATGGAGTTGAACCGTGGACATATTACTTTGTGAATGGATTCCTTAATTTTAATATTGTATGGGTGAGTGTAATGTTATACCATTAAATTAAAAAGATTTAATTAACAATCAAGATTCATTTAAATGAAACCACTATTTTTCGGATATACTATGCGGTTTATTTTTGATAAAAAACTACATACTCCCGACGTTTCGGCTAATTTTCAGCAACCGTAATCACGGGCATTCACATCTCGTCTGACAAAAAGAAACCGCGTAGTACATTTGAAAAATATTAGTTTCATTTAAATGAATAAAACTCGCGAAAGTCTTAGATCTCATTATACTCATCAAGATTATAAACAAAGGTTTTGTATATCATTGCATCCGTATTAGATTTTTAAAAATTAATTTACGAAAGGTAAGCAGTCAAAAATGTTACCATTAAAAAATATCATAATTATTTATCCAAGTTATTTTCAATTTCAATGTAGATATGGCAACTGTATTTTAACAAAATACCAAAATATACACACCTAATTTTAACTTTTTTTAAATAAAATAATTGTTATTTTTCCCAGGTATTAGCTCTGTCGTGTCCCCTACTACTTGTCGCGTGTTCTCTCATATCAACTCGATCGTCGCGTGCGTCGTTCTGTATCCCCTACTGGCTCAGTCTGATGCCATTGGCCTTATGGCTCGCCGTGTTCATGATGCAGCCTCACAAGGAAGAAAGGTCAGAATAATGTACCGATATTATGATATCTTCTAATTTATCTTCAGACTTATATTAACGTGCTTTAAATTCTTGGAATATAACATCATGCAAATCTGAATGATTTTAAAATCCATGTTGTATTTTTGTATGATTTTGTCTAAAGATTACATTTTTATTGTATTATTTTCATATTGAAAATTTCAATTCGTAAAATAAACGGAATTCTTTTTAAGTGACACTAAAATATACTTAATGAAAAATTCTATTAAAATTCATTTTTATATAACACAGAATATAAAATATGTTTATAATTTTGTTTATACATATGTAATCTGTTACAGGTTTTTATATCCTGTGTACAGTATGATAATACTCTGTGGCGCGATTTCCTTGGACTGTCTTCAAAAGATGACCTTCGCTGTGGGAACTGAACTGCTTCGATGGAGGAAGGAGAGGGAACGACGACATTATCTAGTGTACACCGGGCCACTTGTAGTCATGTGTGTCTTATTGGCTGGACTGTTGAGTTAGTACTGATTGGAACATTCTAGATGATGATGATTTATCTAACACATGATAGACTTAAATAAATAGTTTTATAGTGTATATAAGGAAACACAGTGAAATTAAAACTAATCTCATTAGCATTTATATGACAATACAATATTTGTTTGGTACTAAAACATAAATGCAAAAAATTATAAATGTGTGGTATTTTCAGTAATTTCACGCAAAAACTACTGACTTTATTTCTATAAATCTGTCCAATAGTAGAGTTATTATATCAAAATAACATATTCTTTAAGTTATTTTGGAATTCTGTGTAGTAACCTAACAGTTGTATTGTATGTATGAAGTCTCGTGAGACGGGCAATAGATGGCGCTGTTTTTAAATTACTATAAATTTATACGATATTTAAATAAAATTTAGTTTAATATATAATAATAAAGAATAATTTATTTTAGGTATATCCCGTATCATAGCGCTACACAGTCATTACGGCTCGGTTTCTTCTTTGACCAGTCACGTGGCCCCTACTACTAGCGCCAACGACGTCGTGGTGTGTTACGGCAAGGAATGGTACCGCTCGTCTTCGAGTTTCCTAGCTCCTGGACACGTGAGGTTCATAGCTAGCGAGTTTGATGGACAACTACCAGCGCCATATACTTACGGAGCTAATGGTAATGGTAATTATGACTATAGCGAGTTTTTTATATTTGGGCGATATTACTAATAATTTGTTGAGAAGGCTGGGTCCGTTTCATATGTCCTTAAGCAAGTAGGGTAATGATTTTTAATGAATTACAATCAAATTGTCCCAAAGCGTGATTATTACGAAAGATTCCAAGTTCTTGCACTGCTACTTTTTGCTGTCTGATATTTGAAATGTTTGTACAAAATATTTGAATTCATATAATTTATTGCTTCATAAAATTTTAGACATGTACCTACATCTACGTGTCTTAGTAAAGATCTTATAGAGATCTTAAAGATCTTATATATCTTATATAATCAATATTTCGTATTTCCAGCAACCCGCGTGATACACCCGTACTTCAACGACAAGAATAGAGGCGATAATCGCACGTACCTACAACCGTCCGAATGTCATTACCTTATAGACTCAGACACAGGCAAACCGACGAACCTACAACCACATTACCACAAGAAAGACGAATGGGAGATAGTAGCAAGAGTCCCGCTACTAGACGCTAACAGATCACATAAAATATTCAGAGCCTTTTATGTGCCCGTCTTGACTAACAAGAATTGCGTTTACGCAAATTTGTACTTGTTAAAGAACAAGCTTATAGAGTTTTAGGTGCAATTTCGATTGAAAGTATCTCATAAGCACGTTTTAGTTATCCTATGTTAAAAGAAACTTTTAATTTAAAAAAGTATTTATATTTTTTATATATTTATTTTCTAATGCATTTAGAATACACATATTTTTGTTGTATTTATTTTTTTAGTAATTATATAGTTTTTTTTAAAGTGTTTTTTATGTTTTTATTCTTACTATGAAGCTAGTCATACAAATAGAGCCTTTTAAGCATAAATATCTTTCTTCACTCGATACACTCGTCTCTTATACTATTTAAGTAATTTCTATGGTAATTATAAAGTAATAAATTTAATAAAACATAATCATATATTTGACACTGTTCATCATTTTGTACTTTAATAGGTTGTATTGTTACATATTTAAATAATATGCAATGGTTTATTAATAAAAGCATATACTTACTATACACATTGTTATAAAACTTCTAGTTCTGTCGCTAAAACTACATACTGTCGGTTTGATGTGTTCGTAAATTTATGGAAACAAGTTATGAAATAGCCACACTTATGCAAGTTATATTTAAATTAAGTAGTTGACATAAGTAAACATTATATAATAATAAACTGGTCGATTCAAATAATATAAGCAATATTTGTAATTGTTAAAGAACACCAAAAATAGTGTAAGGATATTTTTTATCTTTATAATCACTGTAGGTAAGATTTTTAATAAAGATTATATAAATGAGTTTGTAGTTTCAATACATTTTTATAGACATTCAAATTTAAGAAGATATTCCGTTGAGTTCCATTTTCAAAATACTGTTTGTGTACACATATATTTTTTATAAGTGTCAATACTGGTGGCCTATCTCTTATATTGTAAATGACAATGTTGCCATCGTCGCCTGATTTACTTTTTTTGTAAATTATGTTCAGAACTAATACAGTTAGGAATTTAATTTAATTGTATCGGATTTTTGACTTATTTGGAATTCAAATTCTAGTTTACGGAATGAAAAAGCCAACTAGAATTTTTCAATCGCACAGCCGCGATGAAAATCCACTCATTTATTACTTTAAGTTAGTTAGAGTAGGTAGCTTAATGTAAGGTATTAGTTATTTTTGTGAATAATTATTTTATTTTGTATAATTTTTTTATCAATTGTGTTTAATTGTTTATAAAATTTTCCGTTATTATGAGGGAAATCGTTCACATCCAGGTCGGGCGTTGCGGAAATCAAATAGGATCTAAGGTATTATGGAGGATAATACTGAATACATTAGATTTGCTTCAGTTAGCTTTTTATTATAGGAAATTATGTTTCTTACAGTTCTGGGAGGTAATATCGGATGAACACGGCATAGATCCGAATGGTTGCTATGCCGGAGATTCTGATCTACAACTCGAACGTATCAACGTGTATTACAACGAAGCATCAGCTGGTAAATACGTGCCTCGAGCTGTTCTGGTCGATCTCGAACCTGGGACAATGGATTCATTACGGGCTGGGCCGTACGGACAAATTTTTCGTCCCGATAACATAGTTTTTGGAGTGTCAGGAGCTGGTAATAATTGGGCTAAAGGACATTATACAGAGGGAGCGGACTTACTCGAGTCGGTGTTGGATGTTATTAGGAAGGAAGCGGAAGGTTGTGACTGTCTTCAAGGTTTCGAACTGATCCACTCGTTGGGAGGCGGTACTGGCTCAGGTTTAGGAACCTTATTACTGAATAATTTAAGGGAAGAGTATGCGGATAGAATTATTTTAACGTTTTCTGTTGTCCCGAGCCCTAAAGTTTCTGATACTGTCGTTGAGCCATACAATGCCACGTTGTCATTGAACCAGCTGATAGAAAATTCCGATCAGTCATTTTGTATAGACAATGAAGCTTTGTACGATATTTGTTTCCGCACGTTGCGATTACAGACACCCACATACGGTGATTTGAATCATTTGGTGTCGGCAACGATGTCTGGTGTCACGACGTGTCTTCGTTTTCCCGGGCAATTAAATGCGGATCTTCGAAAGCTTGCAGTCAATATGGTACCGTTCCCGAGGCTACACTTCTTCATGCCGGGATTCGCTCCGCTCACAGCCAGGGGCAGTCAGCAGTACAGAGCACTGACCGTACCAGAGCTCACTCTTCAGATGTTCGACGCCAAGAACATGATGGCTGCCTGCGATCCACGTCACGGACGATATCTCACTGTGGCTGCAGTGTTCCGCGGTCGGATGTCAATGAAAGAAGTCGACGAGCAAATGCTTAATATACAGAACAAAAATAAAGATTACTTCGTGAAATGGATACCCAATAACGTTAAGACCGCCGTATGTGACATCCCACCACGTGGAATGAAGATGTCTGCTACTTTTATCGGCAATACGACCGCCATACAAGAGATATTCAAAAGAGTTTCAGAACAATTCGCCTCCATGTTTCGGAGGAAAGCTTTCATACATTGGTACACCGGCGAGGGTATGGACGAAACTGACTTCACCGAAGCCGACAATAACCTGAGCGATCTTATTTCAGAATATCAACAGTACCAAGACGCGACAACAGAAGATCAAGAGTTTGAGGAAGAAGAGGACGAAGCTGCACCGAATGATGAGAGTGACGAATAATGAATTTATTATGCATTATTTATTTTATATTATATTTAAATATTAAAGACCTCGTACAATACTGTTTTTATGACCTAAAATTTAATGCTCACTGAGCCATAATAATGATTTTTCCAATAAGAAAATTATAAATATTTTATTGTACACAAAAACTTAAATACGTTGAAAACTTAAAGGTAGCTAAATCATATCACGCTTTTTAAAACTATCTCTACAGAGTTAATTGGGATTGAAGCATGGATTATGGTTATTTGATCAATCATAATTTTATATTCTAATACATATTGCGTCGAATATAATCGTAGGTATTTCCCGTGTCTGTTTATTATTTAAATCAAATTAAATACGAAAATGGTAAAAAAGTGTTTTCACAATGTTTAACCTTGCATGTTTAGAATTAAAATGATATTAAAGCTATTGATATTTACTTCTTAAAATCTGGTTTGTATTATGTTTAGATTCGGAGGCTGTTGTTTTTTTTTGTGAGCATTAATTTTGATTGTGTGAAACCTTTTTCTTGATTTGCCCACATCCTCATTAAATTTTCATTGGTATAATGTAACAGGCAAGCAATAATATAATTTTAAATAAAGAATGTACTCCATTCCGTTATTGACAACCCAATAATTGTAAATCATTATTCAAGAAAATTTCGTGTATAATGCACGTGCAATAGTTTGCATGTAGATTTTTTTTACACATTTTTTTCTTATGTAAAGTTTATCAACGTAAATTTTAACTTTCTAGCTTTTAGGCTCTAAATTCTTTGTGATCCAACAAAATGAGGGAAATCGTCCACATCCAAGCCGGGCAATGCGGCAACCAAATTGGGGCTAAGGTATTGTTGAATAATTTTACGGCGCCTCATTAAGTTTTGTTTTATAGAAATAATCTTTTTCAATTTTACTAAGTATGCTTTTGTTTCTTCAAATGTTAAGTATTTACTATAAAATTACTAATTTATTTCTTCTTTACAGTTTTGGGAAGTAATATCAGACGAACACGGTATTGACCCTACAGGAGCCTACCAGGGTGACTCCGACCTGCAATTGGAGCGCATTAATGTATATTATAATGAGGCCTCCGGGTGTAAATATGTACCGAGAGCCGTTCTCGTCGACCTTGAGCCTGGCACCATGGATTCTGTAAGGTCCGGGCCATTCGGACAAATATTTCGCCCGGACAATTTTGTTTTCGGGCAATCTGGTGCCGGTAATAACTGGGCGAAGGGACACTATACGGAGGGGGCCGAGTTAGTGGACTCGGTTCTCGATGTAGTCAGAAAGGAAGCGGAGGGTTGTGACTGTCTGCAAGGATTTCAGTTGACGCATTCTCTTGGCGGTGGTACAGGTTCGGGGATGGGTACTTTGTTGATATCAAAAATAAGAGAAGAATACCCCGACCGGATCATGAATACATTTTCGGTTGTACCCAGTCCGAAAGTGTCGGACACTGTTGTCGAGCCTTACAATGCTACGTTATCAGTCCACCAATTAGTGGAGAATACGGATGAAACGTACTGTATCGATAATGAAGCGTTATATGATATTTGTTTCCGCACACTGAAATTGACTACACCGACCTACGGTGACTTGAATCACTTGGTATCAGCGACGATGTCTGGGGTCACTACCTGTCTACGTTTTCCCGGTCAACTAAACGCTGATCTCCGTAAACTTGCTGTCAATATGGTTCCATTTCCGCGCCTACATTTTTTCATGCCAGGTTTCGCACCGCTCACATCGAGAGGCAGTCAACAGTATAGAGCATTGACTGTTCCAGAACTTACTCAGCAAATGTTTGACGCTAAGAACATGATGGCGGCGTGTGATCCTCGCCACGGTCGGTATCTGACTGTAGCTGCTGTGTTCCGCGGCCGCATGTCCATGAAGGAAGTGGACGAGCAGATGTTAAATATACAAAATAAAAACAGCAGCTACTTCGTTGAATGGATTCCCAATAACGTGAAGACGGCCGTTTGCGATATTCCACCTCGTGGACTGAAGATGTCCGCCACATTTATTGGTAACACAACAGCTATACAGGAGCTGTTTAAGAGAATATCTGAACAATTCTCGGCCATGTTTAGACGAAAAGCCTTTTTGCATTGGTACACTGGCGAAGGGATGGACGAGATGGAGTTCACGGAAGCTGAGAGTAACATGAATGACCTGGTGTCGGAGTACCAGCAGTACCAAGATGCGACGGCCGATGATGAAGGGGAATTTGACGAGGAAGTGGAAGAATAGTGTTTGTCCTGTCCAATGTTTTGTGTTTGTTTTGATGTTGTTTTTGTTTAGTGTTAGGCGTACCAATTTAGATGTTTCTTTTAATGATGCAAAAGAAATAAAAAGCATTTATATACATGTTTTCTTTTTTTTCTAATATTGAAATTTCAATATCTAAGGCATCTTGAACCTGTATTGTATGAAAAACCATTCATAAATCTCATTTCATTAAAGCCTAGGATAACTAATATTTTGCTAGTAGTGCATAATTTTTAGTTTTGTATGTGCCGTGATCTTAACGCAGGAGTAGATGTTTCGGACGTACTTTATTACACACTAGCTTTCCGCCCGCAGCTTCGCCCGCGTGGAGTTCGGTTATATCGCGTTACAAAGAAAACCTTTTAAATTTCGTTAAAATCAGTTCAGTGGTTTAGGCGTGAAAGCGTAACAGACAGTTATTTTCAATCAATCAATCAAAACCTCTTTACTTGGACACATCTTATGCAAACAATAAAGAATACAAAAATAAAGATGAAAAATAAAATTAAACAAAACAATTTGTGATGCCCAAATTGGTAAGCCACTCAGCATATATTATGTTGAAAATCATCGTAGTAATGAGTTTCAACGCTGATATTCTGGCCGCTAATAACGTACGTTGCGTCGCAGGAAGCGAAATATGTGATATACCTAATAAGAATTGAAATAGTGGATATATAATTTCATAATAATTTTTGCATTTATAATAAGTACCTATTAGGGATTTAAATAGAATTTATAACAAGTCTATTTGTGAGACAAACCCCTAATCTTGCAGAATTGTGAATAAAAAGCCTAAATTAAAACCTAGAGAGAATATAGAAGCAGTAACTTTAGATAATGCATTGCATTGAAAAAATATATAAAAATGTAGATACCTAGTCAGGTTTACATTTACCAAAACCCTTCTGTCATTATATCGTTTACTTTTGGACATAATTAAATGCTACTTTGATAAAAACTACAATTATATGTCAATATTTTTATTTTTAAACAAACAAGGACATCACAAAATGAACACCTAAACATCATCCCTCCAGCCCTTCACCCTCTGCTTCCTCATCAAACTCTCCCTCATCGTCCGCCGTCGCGTCTTGGTACTGCTGGTACTCAGAGATGAGGTCGTTCATGTTGCTCTCCGCTTCTGTAAACTCCATCTCGTCCATACCCTCGCCAGTGTACCAGTGAAGGAAAGCTTTCCGCCTGAACATGGCCACAAACTGTTCCGCCACCCTCTTAAATATACTCTGTATAGCCGTCGTATTGCCAATAAATGTCGAAGCCATCTTCAAGCCTCGAGGCGGTATGTCACATACTGCGATCTTGCAGTTATTTGGTATCCATTCAACAAAATATGTACTATTCTTATTCTGAATATTCATAATTTGTTCATCCACCTCCTTCATTGACATACGACCTCTGAAGATTGTAGCTACCGTCAGATATCTCCCGTGCCTCGGGTCGCAGGCAACCATCATATTCTTCGCGTCGAACATTTGCAGCGTCAATTCGGGAACAGTAAGAGCTCTGTATTGTTGCGCCCCTCTGGACGTGAGCGGCGCGAAGCCTGGTGTGTAAAAGTGGAGGCGTGGGAAGGGAACCATATTCACAGCCAATTTCCTTAAATCCGCGTTCAACTGACCGGGAAAACGAAGACACGTCGTAATCCCGGACATCGTAGCGCAAATCAAGTGATTTAAATCGCCGTATGTAGGAGTAGTCAGCTTTAATGTTCTGAAACATATATCATACAGCGCCTCATTGTCCAAGCAAAACGTGTGGTCCGTATTTTCAACCAACTGATTCACTGCTAGAGTGGTATTGTACGGCTCCACTACACAGTCCGATACTCTCGCGCTTGGAAAAACTGAGAAAGATAGTATGATACGATCGGGGTATTCTTCTCTAATCCGGTTGATAATTAACGTGCCCATGCCCGACCCCGTGCCGCCGCCGAGCGAATGACTAACTTGGAAACCTTGCAAGCAGTCGCATCCCTCTGCTTCACGACGGACAACGTCCAGAACCGATTCTAATATCTCCACTCCTTCCGTGTAATGTCCTCTGGCCCAGTTGTTAGCACCGCCACCCTGACCGTACACGAAGTTGTCAGGTCGATAGAGACAACCGAACGGTCCAGAACGAACGGCATCCATCGTAGCAGGCTTCAGATCAATCAATATAGACCTCGGTACATATTTACCGCCAGAGGCCTCATTGTAGTAAACATTAATACGTTCCAGTTGAAGATCCGAATCCCCGTGGTAGCAGCCGCTAGGGTCGATGCCATGCTCGTCAGATATTACCTCCCAGAACTGGAATCAAAATTAAACACTGTTTAGTCTAGTCGTTAGATACATCATATGTCGGTTGCAACAGTAATATATAGAAAGTTTTCAATACCTTCCCTCCAATCTGATTTCCACACGAACCAACTTGAAGAGTAATGATCTCCCTCATCTTGAAAATTTATCAATCTTCGCCTCTGGTACTTGTAAATTTCTCCAAAAATATCAAATAGTGATTATATAATTGAAGCTTAACATTAGCTTAAAACTAATAAAAAAAATACAAAAAATCTCTTTCAAATTCCCACTGTACGCATCTTACGTTGGATTTCAAGTAAATGAAATCAGATTGCAGAAATTTCTATTCTAACAAATTCAAATTGTAGTTCTAGAATTCTTCTACACATGTATCAATAGAAAAAGTTTGTAAGCTTTAAAAAGTTTTTATTTCAACGTTTTAATACTACTGTGTGCATCTTTTCCTCAATGTTTTGAAAACATATTAATAAAATGTAAAATGTAGGTATTTAGTATATATTTTAAACATTATTTTACTATCAATATTAAGTATATCTCAAATTGAATGAACCCCCTGATTTTTGTATCCAATAAAAAATTTATATAACGTGTAATAATTTAAGCGCATGTATTTTTAAAAATTAAGTAATATGCCGTGAAATCAAAAGGATCAATGTGAGTTTATAATTAGCTGTAAATTAAACAGACATTTGAACCGAAAATTAAAATGCTGGACTAGAAGAAAATGGCGCCACCTAGATAAATTTTTCGTATACACGTCCATTGGAAAAACTTTCAAGAACATTCGGTTGCTTGTTCAAATTTGTACTCATAGATGTCGCTAGCTCTGCTCGGCTTGTTTTGTTTTCCGCAGCTATTGTCACAATAGTCATGGCGCTCGCTCGAAATGTCAGCGAGGTAGCGAATTAGTGTATGTGATTTGTTGGTTTATCCTGTATGATGTAGCCGTATTTGATGTGTTCCGAGTGTGAAGGGTGCGAGCGCCGGCGGCGCGATGTCAATAGCTGAAGGTAACGCGACCGGCCACGAAAGGAAAACAGCACCCGGAGAGGATAGCACGGATAGTGACAATGAAGCTGAGAGAAGAGCTCTTCTACGCAGGATATCCACCAGTAAATGTGTCGGCAGGCTGGTGAGTACCGTTTGGCTTCGAGGATAAGTCTAGGTCATGGTAATAGCTGCTGAGTATGGGCGTGCCATCTGTCAGTTTTCGGGGTGAGGGGAGGGTGCCATGTGCCCGGGCAAGCGGTTGATATTTTTTCAACGATACACTTTGTTTGGTTTCGATAATTAATTTTTGTGTACAGAAGTAATGAGGTGTGGAGCTGACCTATTTTGTACATAGAAACGAAGCTCTGTATTGTTTCACTTTTTCCTTTGTTTCTGTAGATACGGTGCCACCGTTTAATATTAATGATTCATCATTTTTAAAAATAATTTTAAATAGACTTCTTTTACGTTTATATTTAATCGTTTGACAATTATGTTTTAATGTACAAATGAAAAAATCTTATTAAATTGGTTTAACGTGAAAGATATCGCAAAATTATAAAGTTCCCGCCCGTTTTTTAACTTGTTATTTGGGAAGTGATTTTATAAAGAAATTTTAACGATTTTCAGAGAGAATAGAATATTGATATTTACCATTCATATAAGCACTGTTCCCTTTGTTTATTTATATTGTTCTAAACTGAAAAATTACTCCCATTATTACCGCTGAGGTAATGTTTAACAATTAAAATAAATACATTATAGTATTCCATTAAACGAAATAAAAACTATTATTATCTTTATATTTGATATTTTAAAGAGCCCTCGTCGTATCATATTTCAAAAATGTATCTTCTACGTATACTCAAGAACTCTTTCGTTACAAAGTAAACGTACGGAGCTAACAATACGTCACTTAATTTATCTGTGCTAATGGATGCTGCAGTATCATTATCCCGTGGTTTTAACACTCGACGGCCAAAAGCCTGCAATTAAAACTAAAAGCCTCAATTACGGGTACATTACGGCTATATAATATATATACGTATATATACTTTTAAATTTAATAGCTGGCTCGATCTTAGCGTCTAAATACTAAAATTTGTATCGTATAACTTTGTTGGAAATAGCTTCTGTGTTTATTATAATATAATGTTTATAGGTGTAAAGGTGTAAATATAGTTTGTAATATTAATGTCCAGTATTATACCTTTAATACGTTTTGCATCAGTAATTAATATCAAGCAGTTTTTTTCAAATTGAAATTATGTAAGTAGGCGATAATAACTCGTTACTATGAGTACTAGAGTACATTGTACTCGAACTATAATGAAAATATCCACTTAACTAATATTACTAACACAGCTATATTTACCATTATTTATATTAATAACTTGACTATTTTTTATAAAACGTATAAAATTGTATTATAATGAATATCTCTTGAAAAGTTGTTTGTTTGAAAATTTATACGTAATCCATATTGAATTTCGTATTTATGCTATCTATCTTTGTATAGAAACAAACTTCCTAATATACAACAAACAAAATCCTAAATATTTTACGTATAAATCGACTCCAAGGAGAATTATCCCATATAAATATTCTTTTATAATACAAATAGTAAAGAAAACAAATATAGCCTCGTAATTGGTATAGCCGACCACCGCCGGCTATGTTTTCTATTGCAACATATTCCTTTGTACCTTTATAGCAACGCCAGAAGCATCTTCCTTTAATAATTAATTAATGTAAATGAAAACAAACGTATTATTTTAGTCTTTGCCAGATCAAAACCATAATTCGATACGATTTATTTTCTCTTTGTGTGTATACAATTAAAAATGTTTAGCTTTATATTTCAAAGTTAAAATGTATTCCCATCCCTACTTATATTATAAATGCGAAAGTAACTCTGTCTGTCTGCCTGTCTGTTACGCTTTCACGCCTAAGCCACTGAACTGATTTTAATGAAATTTGGCACAGAGATTGAGTTGACCTTGAGAAAGAGCATAGGATAGTTTTTATTCCAGACTTTTGAAAGGTTCTCTTGGAAACGAGATGTAACCGAACTTCACGCGGGCGAAGCTGCGGTCGGAAAGCTAGTAAGATTATAACAGCAGATGTTGTTCCGTATATAATTTTTCAATAAAAATACATTTACATAAAGTATTTGTAAAAATTTCATTTACATCATAGTATTTTATTTTTCTGTCAAAAAAATAAGTTCGTTCCAGGTTTTAAGTTTTAATTTTTGATACTCGAAAATGCGGATACAGAAATATGTATATTCGACGTAAAAAGTTTTACTAGAATTCAGAAATAGAAGCTGAAAACATTTAAAAATCAAATGTAAGTAACATTTGCGAGACGAAATATAATACGTAATTAACTTTTCCGCTTTAAACTTCCCAGACCAACTGACCCAGACGTTTCTCGTATACGTACTGAGAACTTTTATTTCTTTTAAGTTTCAAAGCCGTGATACTTGGCTCTTGTACGAGTTTCCGAGCAAACGAGAACTTATAATTGTATGCTACAGTTTCCAACGGAATTTTTTGTATAAAAAAACCTCTAAACATAAGAAATTGAATGAGAATATCAAAGGTTAAAGTTTAAAACAGGTGTATAGAAAAAAATAATTGATTAATTTTTGAACTGAAAAGTTTTCATACGTATATATGCAGTATAAAAAAATAGGTGTTGAGGTATGTAGTGGTTTTTATAAATATAGTCATATTGTCTTGAACTTCCTTTCGTCAGCAGCGTGCAGGATGTCCGGCTGTCAGTCGTTCATTCGTTCCTTCATTCACTACACTGACAGGCGAGTGAAATAAGACCCTGATAACACAAGGAGATGAATGATTTTTCGAATGACACGGCGCTAACAATCTTCTCGTTCAAAAATGTTCTCGAATATTTTATTTTAGAATTATCACATATTTCACGCATCATTAAATATAAGTACCGATTTTTATTTCAACGGACCGCCGAATAAATTAATCATATCCAAAAATATATTAATTGTTAAAAGCCCCGCCCATATAACAATATAGTGGCCATTCACCTGGCAAACACCTATATAGTTCCCGAGCTTCGTATAAGTGAATTAAATTCATCTCGAACTGTGTCAGAAATAGCATGTTTATAATGGGCCTATGAATGGTTGGAATAATAATATGTTCTGAGCGTTTGTTTATCTTTTGGTATTAACTCTTGCTACAACTTCGTATCGTACTATTGAAAGTAGTTAAAAATATTAAATTTTAAAATAAAATATTGAATTCGGTTGATTTAATACATTGAATAGCTTTTTCCGCAAGCTAAATACTCTAACAAAGCTTGTAGCTAACATCTTACACATAACAATAGCTCCACATTGTTTATTTTGTTTTCACGCCACAGCACCGCTCACGTAAATGGTTTGTTTTTTGAACAGTCTCAGCAGGCATTCTATTTTCTTAACGAGTGTATGAAATAGAAAATGTTTATCGATTCCATACATACTAAGAGTTCGTTATTACTACGCTACTTAAAAGTATATGGTTTTTATACGAAAATTACACTGATGGCTGTTTCATCGTTAATATTTATTTGTTAATATAATATAAAAATAAATCAGCTGTTGAATGCTTGCTTAGGATAAAAAGAAATCCAAAAAGTTTTAATAGTTTTGTAATCATAGACAACTATTAAAAACTAAACTTTAAATAAACTTTGGAATTAACGGAAAGCGGATAACTTACATGTACCTACATTTTTTATGTTCTAGAAAATTTTACTTTTAATTAAAACCTCTTTTATTACGTAAAAACATGGCTATCAATATTTAATTCTATGCAACATAATGTGTCGTGGGTAGACAGGCTACAAGCATTCTCTTATTTCTCTATTGTCACTGTTTTGATAGATGTCAATTTGACAAGACAATTTGAATTCCAAGACAATTTGAGTGACACGTGTTTGGAGATGCTTTGTTCACAGACTCAATAGAATGTTACAAATAAATTGATTTGTATAATATTCGTAAACTATTTTGTAATATATGTAGATGAGTAAAGGAGTATTATTTGAGTCCTTTGAATATGTTACAGTTTCTTTATAACTATATATCTACTTACAAAATCATTATTCCTACTAATTTATATAAATTTTCAATCGGTATTTAGAACATCAGTAATTATTACATAATTTTATTGATGTCAATATTTATCTTTTTGTTTTCCTTATCGATAATTACTTAATTAAATGAACATTTTTTTTTGTCTTTGCAATAGTTACTAATTTGGAAGGTCTGAATTTTTTAGGCGAATCGAAAACAATATCGGTCGAATTAAAATGTAACTAAAAAAATTTAAATTCCACAGTTATGAAATTCATATGAGTATTCCTTTGAAATGTAGTTCATATCACGGTCTCAGGTGGACTGTAACTGTAATGAAAAGCTGTCTTCTCAGTAATTTACCTTTTGTAGCAAAACGTGTTACTATGATTTGTGTTATACTTAATTATGTTTTATTTTCATTGAAAATGTCCCAGAATATTACAACAGAGTTATCTCTATATATGTGATAAAATAATCGTATTAAACTTAGCTATTTTGTTTGATATAAAAGTGAAATTAATATCTTATATTGTTAAAAGTATTCTTTAAAATGTTTTGGTTAAAATATATTTCATGATAGGATTATAATTACAATGAAGATAGAAAGTAAGTTTTTGTGATATATATAACATTTTTGATGTTTTATACATATATCACAAAAATATTAATAAATTAGATAAAAGTAGACAGTTACTCTCTTTATTTTAAATAGTCATTTCATTTTTTATTTTGGCATCCCTTTGACGAGTGTATAAGTTTATTTACAGTTCAAATTGAATATTAAATTTATTTATATTTTTTTATGATAATAATTTAAAATGCATTTACAATGTATGTCATAATATTTCGTATTTCATTGCTTCACTCGTTTTAACCGCATCGTTTTCCGATCGCCTCTGAGGTCGTAGAACTTTGGTTATTATTATCGAACGTGCATTGGCACTTGGCCAGCACATTAATTTAATATACGTTTTACTGTTTTACATTGACTGCATTTAAGATGACTTCTATATAACTAGGTTTAATGTTGATGGCTCTTAATTACTTAATATGGGACTTGCGACGAGGTTTTGAACTTTTATTTTATTAGGTAATTTTTCATTAAATACATATAATCGTGATTTTCTGGTCGTACTGTTTTTGGTAAGAGGAGCTTATTTTTATCTAAAGTTCCCAACTATGGGATTTAAGGATAAAATTTAAGCGTTGTTCGTTTTAAATTTTTTTGCTCTAAATACAATACCTAGGTCATTTGTTCATTGTGAGTGACGAACCTTAGATATGGCACTGTTTTGCTTAAAAATTAAAATTACTTAGGATACATACGAAACATTCTATTAAATGCCTTCCATTCATAAGATGTAACAGTATCTACACGTTTTTTTTTGTAATTCAAATCATCTTGCGTTTTATTTATATAATTTACCACAAAATGGCGGGAATTATTGTTATTCCGCTTCAAGTGTCTAAAGCAATATTCAGTTCATTTATATTTTTTTTCACCAATGGGGAGTATTCAAAATATATTTCGACAGTGACACGTAGAAGAGAGGACACAAAAAATTCTTTGTTAAAGAGCTTATTATAAAAAGATAGTACACTGAAGTAAATTTAATAGCAAAGCCAGTTATAACATATATATTTTGGTTCTATTGCAATACAAATGAGATCATTCAGTCTATATATTTTTTACTTGTATTATTCATATAAAAAGCTATTGTTATTCTATATTATTTAAATATTTTATATATGTTTTAGTTTCTTTGTATCGTATATTAATTATAACTGTTACATAATAATGTGTGTCGTAGAGTGTTCCAGATTTTAATGTTACAATCAAATAGATTTAACTTCAGCTTGGCACCACGCTCGCATTAATCTGGCATCCATACTAATAATCATGAACCAACTCAAGGAATTAACTATTCACATTTAAATCGAACTGTTCTGAGATTGATTATAATATATATGTATGTATAAAAGTAAATTGTGTTAGTTACACTATTTATAACTCAAAAAAGGTTGTAGGTATGTGGTTGAAAATTGACGGGAAGACAGCTTAAAACCGAAAGACGGACATATGATTATGTTCGATCGAAAACAAAAAATTAAATTTATAACTGGTAATTTACAGCCAATTTCTGGTTATTTACAGCCTCTAGGGCAGAATAGACTTCGCCTTGTTATCTATGCATATGTATATTACTAATTCCGAAATTAACACGGACAAAATCACGGGCAAAAAGTAGTATTATATAAATGTCACGAATTCCAACATGTTTGTTGTTCAGAAATTCTAGCAATATTTTAAAATTATAATCAGAACTCTATATAAATGGAAATATATTATAATAAAAAAATTAATAATTTAATAATATTGAAATGTAATTAAACAAGGTTTACCTTTCAAAGGCACAAAGCGATGTCAGCAAAATACATTTATTCAAAATTATATTTTCCTATATTTCGTTCTTAATAATAATTTGAATTTAACAATGGTGTAATAGTATTTTTAACGTGCACATACACACACGCACTCACTCACGAGCATACGCACACATAATATACACACACACACATACGTCATACATACACGCACACATGCATATGTCTTTGGTGCTAGAAGGGTAGTTAAGAAATAAGTTGTAAAGTAATACAAGTTTTTTCCATAATGTCTGTTCTTGTTGTCTTTGTAAGATAAAGTCTATCTTGACCTTCAGGAGATACAAAGTAGGTCAGAAATAAAAGCAACACAGAAAAAAGAAATGAATACCCGTTGCAACAAAGGTGGAAAAGAAAGAGTGAACTTTGAACTCATTGTATGAAGTCGGAATATTTGTTGTATTTATGGAAATATTATCACAACAGACAAATGTTTTTAATTTTTTTTGTACTAAAACTAATTAATATTTAGTTTACTTCATAGATTAGACATCAGGATAGGATTTAGACGATATTTATGCCCTTATTCCGTTTACTGTCTGCGACCATAACACTTGTATGTAGATGAAATGAGTATATTATATATGTCGTTAGCGTGTATTGTTTTAAAAGATTTGGTACATTTCCTTCTTAGTTTTATTCGGAAGTCCAAGTGGACAAACCCGCAAGCAAAAACAAGTCATTTAAATTTTTGCAATCATCAAGACATTGAATATTAATATTATAAATCAAAGCAGAAAAAAGTACTATAATTTTATTATCCGTTCTAATTTCACTCTATGGTCGATAATGGGTATATTACTTAGATTTAACGGCGTCTGCTTATAGGGGGCCATTAAGTCGCCGCAATAAAATTGTAATTAACAAGATAGCTGTGATGACGTCCTTGAAGTCAATATCAGATAATACAAGAGTTTACTACAGCTGTTATAGCCTATAACAGGTTATGGCATGCTCTTAATTATTATGCAATTAATGTCACTCAAGATTTAAGTATAAATAGATAAGTAGGAATCATTATAAAAGGTTATAAACTAGTTAGAATAAATAAATTGTTAATTAAAAACTTCTAGTATCGTCGTTTGTATACGTAATGAATTTTGTTTTTATTTTCACGTTGGAAACTCGTGGTAAGAGAAATGTAGTTTTAAGATTTTTCATTCACAAATTGTCAGCGATTCTTTCAATGACTAGTAACAACTATAACCCATAACGAAAATGTAGTTACTGAACTTTCAGTAATGCTAAATGATTATTGTATTATTTTCTCTACGATCCCATATCTAAACTTATATATTTTCTGTTTGTAGCCGGTCGTGAAGGAGGGTTACTTGATGAAGCAGACACGAAGCTTCCAGAGATGGCAGCGTCGTTACTTCAAACTGCGAGGTCGGACCCTCTACTACGCCAAGAAGAAAGACGTAAGTAATTAGATCTAAGACTTTCCCGATTATTTATTTCAATGAAACTAATATTTTCGAACTAGGTACTCGTTATTTTATTATTATTTAAACTACGTTCTCAGCACGTTTCGGCCACTTTGCAGCAACCCTGATCACTGGCAGACGAGATGATATTTTCATCTAACAATAACGGGTAGTAATCCGAAATTATTAGTTTCATTTAAAGACGTAAGTAATCTGATTGGTTTTTAAATAAATTCTTGTAATAATCGATATAACCCTTTATAAATATCATGTTTTTGAAGAAAATTGTTCTCATTAAAATGTACATATTTTATAATAACATTAAAATTTTTAAATGTTCATTCATATACAAAATTTTACTTTTATAATAAAGAGGTACAGTTTCCAAGTATATATATATATATATATATATATATATATATATATATATATATATATATATATATATATATATAAGTTTATATCAAGGACAAGTTGAGGAAAGTAACTAGTAAACCGATTGAAAAGATAATGATCCCGTCATTTAGGAAGGGACTATGAGATTGACATGAGATAAGTAGAAAAAATATATAAAATATATACATTACAATTTACTATAAAACAAAAGTTAAATGAAAGTCTTTCCGGGAAAAACTTTACGAAAAGAATTCTTCAAAGTAGCATTAAATACATATAAATGGAAATAAAGAAATGAATTGAATAATGAAAACTGTCACAAGTATCAAAACAAGGATCTTTAAATAATAATTAATTTGAAGCAACCAGCGAAACTTACAGTTTTGATTTACCTTGAACTTGTCTCAGGATTTAAGTCATCGTCAGTCCTGACTCGCTTAAAGCAATATTTAATAGTATTGTAGTTGTTTACACCATTCTGAGGGGAAATAATTTCGAATGTCGATGAAAATTTAAAAATTACTAACGAAAAATAAACACCGCATCTTTTACTTAAAAAATATTTACATTTAAAGAGCGTAATATATTTTGGAGTACAATAAGACCCAATAAGGATGTACATAATATGTAGATAACTTTTTTCACTTTAAAACTTACTACTGTATTGTACTGTACTGAAGCGACTTTAGCTTAAATTTACAAGTCAACCAACATGTCAGAATAGCGTTAAACGTTGTATTGATGTAGACTTAACCCTCGTTTGATGATCCACCAATTAGTGATTATCAAACTAACCCAAATCAATTTAATATCTACACATAAGACGCTCTCAAATATATTTGCCTGTGTTAATTAATTTTATCATCACCCACCAATATACTTTGACATCGGCCACTTGGTTTGTCATAGACAGAGACATGTGTGGTTATTGCAATTATCCACTATAATTGAGGACATTACCAAATTACGTTTATGAAATTTAACCACCAATTTACTAAGACATATTATGGTCTTGTAATTTATCATTTGAGTTTGATTTAAATAATATTTCATTAAAAGACGTCGTTGTAATATAATCGTACTTGGTAGCTTTAATATATATTAATTTTTTTATATATTATGGTATTCCGTCGTTTTATGACCATTAATAAAATAATAATTAATTGAATTTTGCAGATGCTTAGATTAAATGGGGAAGGTATACATTATATTTTACAAATATTCTCCCTAAATATAAAACACGTGTATACTTTAAACATTTGAACACTTCAACAAATTGTTCATATTTTCATTGTCACGTCCCAAATATGAAATCATGTCAAAAATATAATTTACAAAAGAGTGTCATCCAAACTTACCTTCAAATGGGAATGAGTGTCTCGGAAAATGATAAAGTCATCCTTATTCCTTAGTATATTGTGAGACATTTTGTTTTTGAGAATAATGATGTAATCTTTATAAGAATTTCGAAAAGTGTCGTACTCCTGATAATATTTATGCGCCACGGTTACTCCTTTTAAAACGTCCTTATTTAATATTTCCAAAATAAACTTCTTTATCAGAATTAGACCTTTGTCCTGGTTTTTATTGGAGCATTTCTTTTGAGAGATTGTATCACCGTGGTATATATTTTTTATTATATCAATTATTTTCTGCTTTTATCTTTAAAAAAATATAAAAACAATATTTTAATTTTTAGTATTTATTTCTTTTAATCAATGTGTTTGGTTTTTGCACGTAATAAAAATTTTCCATCAATATTTTTTCCATATCTATAAAAATAACAAAACATGGATGAATCCACGCAACACCGCTAGTACGCCAAAAATTTTCAGAAGCCAAAAGTACTTTATTCGTAAATACGATCTAACCTTTTCTTATTATTTTATATGGACACAAAATTATTATTGATCATTGAAACCGACTTACAGAGAGCTTTTAGAATGTAATAAGATTTTCATCGGTCTCGATTTCCAAATAAAAAACTCCTAATGCTCCTACAAAGTTTACTTAAAAATAAATGTCGCTTTCAATGTCGATAAGAATGTACTAACTAATGTGTACCGTGAAAGTGTAATTAATTGAAGTTTATCTGTATGCGAGGAATTCAGTATATCGGAGCCTTTTATTGGGTGGGGATACCTGGCTTGAGACCGCTGGGCGCCTCACCAAGACTCCGTGAAATCTGAATTCAAATCGAGTAGCGCTTCGAGCGCCGAACAGAACACTCGTCTCCGCGTCGCTCGCTCACAACAATACCGCGAGAACTAAAACGTAATATTAACAATGAAAATAATGTTCAATCGACTTGAATATTAATGAATATGTTGCAAATAATCACATATATTTATATAGTGGACAATTAGTTTGTATGTTTGTTTATGATGACGGTTGATTGACCTGCTTGTAATCCACGCACTCCGAGTGCTGTCACAGATGTGAAGGAAGAGTTTTTTTTCTCTCGTAAGTATAGTATATTTTCAAAATTACTTTGTGTACAGTACAAAAAAAACACAATTTTGAATATATATATATATATATATATATTTTTAATTATTTGTGTATTCGAGAATGTAACATGTACGGAGGTTCTTTTAATCGTTCGGTATAAAAAAAAAACTATTAGTTTGATTAAATAGTGAAAGGAAAAATGTTATATAGAAAAAGTATTATCATAAATCATTGTATTTATATTAAATCTTCTAGACAGAAAAAAGAAAACAAAAATAAAAAGCTTAATTCATATAAATAAGAGATAAAAGGTATTTTTTCGAAGACATTAATTATATTAAAGTAAAAACTAAAACAAACAAGATATTTCTTTGAATAATATTTATTTTACTAAACAGGTTATATTTTGTCATTTATTCAAATGATCAAACAATCATAATAACCCAATATATGTATATATGTATATATATATTATTTTTATTTATATATACTAATACTATCATAAGTATTGTTATTTAAATACACTTGTAAGGAAAAGATTAAATTTTACTTTTCGACTAGCTTTTTACCATGGCTTTATTCGAGCATAGGCTTTCGTCATTCAATATTTATTTTACAATCGCTAATGGTAATCTTTTAATAGACTAAGAGCTTTTGAATTAATAATATCGAAAGAACCTCTAATGGTTAGGAAAATAATTAAAACTTAAGAAATAATTTTAACATGATTCATATTATAAAACAAACGTTACTACTATTTATACACATAGATAGTTTTGCACAACATAAACTGGATATTAAGTTTATAGTATGTTATGAGAATAAAATTAATAATGGAATAATTATAATCAAAAATTTAGAGTCTACAATTAGCTAATTTTATATAAAACTAACATTAATATGTGTCTATCAGTCTGTTTATATGATATATTTATTAAATCAATATTTAATTAATACCCATTTTTTAAATTATTTTTGATACCAGTTGGATAGGAATAAAAATAATCGGAAATTTAAAAAATAATGTTTTTTGTAACATGAGGCAATTATAACGAAAACTTCACACAACCCCGAAAAAACCTCCACACTTTAATCATACTTAATTTTCAAAAATATTGGATAATCTTTAACTACTCGACACATGTCAACCAAACGTAGCTAAAAATTACTGAAAGGAAACCACATATGAATCAGTCAAATCGTTTGTAAGCTACGATGCATATATGTACACATACACAAAAAAATCGACTTTTAATGCACGACAGAGGATCTTTTTGTATCGGGTTAAAATAATCTATTTAATAACATAAAATTGTCTTTTTATTAATCGTCATTTTGTTGCATAAACAAAAAAAATCATAGTTAGTATTATTTGTTCCAAATTCTTCATACTACATAAAACTTGTAATCAACAAAATACATATATAACTCAACATTTAGTACAGTCAAACCAATTCACTTTCAGGTTTTATTTTGATCATCAAGGGCTTATCAGCTCAAACACAGGCATAAGTCTATTATAATCCGATCCGAATATAAAGAAGAATAAATGGGCTTGTGATTTAGAAAAAAAAATAAATCAAGGATAGAAATAAATATACCACATAAATATATTCTACTCTAATTTATGTTGAAAGTTTTTTTGTTCGTTAAGTTAGGCAAAAGATTTTTTCTTTAAAATGTTCAATATAATTTTCTTATGTTTAAAGATTACAATACCTTCGACATACGAATAAAAACATCCCAACATATTTAATATAAAACAATTTGCATTTTAAGTTTTGTATTTAACACTGCTCTTAAGATCCAAACAATTTTTTTATGTTTAAATGTCTATTTTTTCAATTTATTAGCAGATTATATTACCAGAAAAGCACTAGGTTTTTTTGAATAATACATAATTTTAAAGCATATATAGTTTTTTTCATATTCAAAAAGAATATTAAAAAGTTTGTAACTCAAATAGGAAAATGTGATATAAGATAAAAAGGTAACGCCGTTCATCTTATCAAAATGTATAGCGCCTTAGTTTTAAATCAAATTTCTTTGTCTTTTTTCGTTTTTAGTTATATGTTTATTTTATATAAAAGTACCTTATTTTATTATCCAATCGATTAGGTGAAAATTTTGAGAAGTTACTCCCAAAGTGACTCAAGCCTATCAGTCACTGAGACTAGATAACAGTTTGAGAGATTGTAGAGATCTGCTACTCTTTGGATTGTCTTGTTTGTTAGGATTGTGATAACTTAGTAACCCGCATATCTGATAGACAAGATTATATTGATGTTAGTATCCTCTACATTTACTTAATATACAATTAGGTTTGAGGTTTGGTTGGAAGTCGAGAACTTTTGACTTTGTGTGGATTGAAATATAAGACTTTTCTTTAATTAAACACAGCCAGACTAGGTTTTATATGGAAAATATAAAGCTTAATTAATTATTTACACATGCGTGTGCTATAAGTTTCCCCACGGTAAATATCATGTCATTGTTTTGAACACGCGGCCAACAATTTTAATATCTGAGCGAGGTACGCGTGCTTGTCGAGCCTCGAACTTCAGTAATCCGAAGTCTAAACCATTTCGTGATTAGATTGTTGCCTGGAAGAGACAGTCATCAGTTGCGGTAAATAAAATTGTAGTAAGCTCTTTATTTGCTTGATTTGATACGAACATTCATATGATTGCTGAATCATTATTATATATGAATCATAAATTCTAATTCGATAATTCTAATGTATGAAAATAATGTAAGCCTAAGAAGTAAGTTGTACTTTTGTATGAGATAAATTTTTGACTGAAACTCTATTTGAATGAAAGTTAAAAATATTCCTAAAGGTCAAGTAGATTAAGGATATATATTTTTTTGCAAAACTTAAACTGTGTACACTTTGGTTTTTACAACATTTTTCAAAGTTACTTTTCTTGGTCATTTCGTTATGATTTTTACATGAAAGCAATTTGAAATAAATGTACTTT